TTTTTTTTTTAAATCTCATTTTGGGAGGAGGGCACACCCTCTCCAATACCCACCCCCGGCCTTTGGCCCTCAGATAACCCTGCGCGCTATAGTTACACCCATAAATACTTAGCGCCCCCCCCCCCATAAATTATATCCTAGAGCCACCACTGCCACAAAAAATTTCTGTACGCTTCATTTGTGAACACAAATGAAGCCTAGGCCTAGAAATGCATATGGGTATGAGATAACAATAAAAAAAAAAATAAATAAATAAAATTTTATTTATTTAAAAAAAAATTAAAAAATATAATAATAAAATAAAATAATAAAATAAAAAAAAAATATAAAAAAAAAAATAATAATAATAAAATTTTATTTATTTTTATTTATTTATAAAATAAATGAAAATACAAGGCAAAATTAAAATAATTCATCATAATGTTTACATGTCTACCAGGATGTTAGGCTTACCTAACAATAAACTCGACTTTCTAATTTTAAGCAATTTTTAAGCTAGGCAATATGGATAAATCAATATCTTTCTTTGTACACTTGCATATTCTCTTAGAATTAAAAACCCTATTAATCTTGTTGTGTACAGTACTGCACATCAAAGTGGCAGGATGGCTTACTTATTTTGGTTGGTAAATTCCGAAGATTTCTAAAAATGGTATGTAAAATTAAGGGCAGCTGAGCAAAAAGGGCCTTTTTTTTTAAACTAGTAAACATTGAGTTGGGATATATAACACTCAACTTCTTACCGAAATTTTACTGCATTGTTTCATCTTCTCCTCCTGGGGAATTGTATTGGTGACGACAACATTCTCAAACACAGCATTATTGATGCGGGATATAGCTGGACCGGAGAAAATGCCATGAGTCAAGATGGCATAAACCCTCAAGGCCCCGGCATCCTGAAGCCTGTGTAAAGATATAATGAAGTCAAACACTATGTTTTCTAACTTCTCTATCAATATGGTGAAGGTTCTGTAGTGTTTTTTAATTATATGCACTATAAAAATAGTATAGTATGTTGTTGGACTCAACCATCATAATCACCCCATCTGCAACCTTATTATCAATGTGTGTTATTCCTAACACATCCAAAAGCAAGCACATTCACCAATTAAAGAACAGAAAGATGCTTTACTTTGACCTGTGATTAATGAGGCTAAGTGAGTGGAGTTGTCTTACGTGAGAAACCTTGATTGAACCCAGGACCCTAAAATTGAAAGGCATGCATCTTAACCACTAAGCTACTATCATTCCTACACTCATGATAGTAATTAATATGAACAATAGCATCCACCTACTTTTCGGCAGCTAGACATATTGTACCACACGTATCTGCCATGTCGTCAACTAAAATGGCTACCCTGTCCTTTACGTCTCCCACGAGTACCATAGATGATACTTCATTGGCCTTCCTGCGCTCTTTGTGTATTAAAGCAAATTCTACATTCAAACGATCAGCAATCGAGGTAACCCTAAAGACAATTAACAACAAAGATTTTAAATGTTTAATAGTAACATAGACATTTATCCTTAGTAAATGCAATTCATCAATTTAACAGATGTATAGTTCGTCAATTTTAATATTTGGAGGCTTCATTAAGGATTTTAATTCTAAGGCTTTAATTTAAATTAGGGTTTTAATGTCTTAAACAAGTAAACAGATAATAATTTTAATATAATGAATAATTATGACTTAATTTTTTTAACTTGGTTTGTACTAATTTATTGTACATCTTATTCATATAAAATTGTCCCCTTCTCACATGTGTTTACATCTGTAATGGTTTGTTTCATCTGTACTGTATTTTAATTAGTTTTGTTAATGCCAATGGAAATCAATTCTGATCTTATCTTGTTTCACATAAAAACTGACTAAAGGATGTGATCATTCAGGGCTGAAAATTAACCTCCAAACCATAGTGGCCAGCAGGGCCAGTAAGGAAAAAATGAGACGGGCCCTTCCAAAGATATACTGGCCCTATAAATATAATTTTACGAAAAATCAAAATCAATAAAACCAGCAAGATGACATTGGTTTAATAACTTTTTTTAGCCAATTGAATCTGTCTTTAGTCAAAATCATTAGTCCGAGCTGTCAAGGGTACCAGAGCTATCAGGGTACCAGAAAAAAATCCATTGGATTTCGTTCACAATCGACACAAGAGTTTTTATGGCCCAAAATTGTGATTTCAGACCACATTAGGGATTGGCAATCAAAATAACATTATTTGATAGGCAAATTAATATTTTTAGCACACCAACGAGGTACAGTAGTTTAGAAGTTTTCTAAATATATAACACAAAAGTTGGCCTATATTATTCTCATTTTAGTTAAGAATGATATCAGGAGGGGGAGGGGAGGCCAAGGAGCAAGAAAAATCGCCTACTTTTGGGAGTTAGTGGGACCATAGTGTCTCCAGAAAACCTGTATTTTATGTATTTTCAGCATAATTATGTATCAATACATAAAGCGGTTGGCACGTCAATTGTATCTTGGACTCCCAACTAGGGATACTCCCCAAGGAGCAGAGTAAGTTGCACTTGCTGGTTTGTCATTGTATGTTATCCAGTGAGCAGGGATAATAACGCTCGCGCCTTTGATCATTCAATTTGGAATTGGCGCCTTATAAATTTTAGGGTATTAACAAGGATAATTCAAAATTACCTAAAAAGAAAGACTGAAGTGAGCTGCAAGTGTGACAAAATAAATTCAGGATTCATAAACCATGTGATACATAATACTCCATTTCATACTTTAAATGTATTTCTTCCACATCAAATAAAACAATAAAATAAAATTTTAAAAAGCCAAAAGATCATAAAAACAATGAACCTCACAACAGTGGCAGTGCCAGCGGCAGCAGAGGGGCTTAAACCCCCATCGGTCTGGTCAAGCCCCACCATCGTCCAAAGCTTGTTGGGCAGTCGGACAAAAAAAATTTTTTTTTAATAGGCCTAGTTTTCCCATCCCAGCCATTTCCGGCCATCTAGAAGTCCAATTTTTTTTTTTTTTAATCTCATTTTGGGAGGAGGGCATACCCCCTCCTATACCCACCCCTGGCTCTGGCCTTTGGCTCTCAGATGATGCTGCGCGCTATAGTTACATCCATAAATACTTAGCACCCCCCCCCCCATAAATTACAGCATATCCTAGAGCCACCACTGCCTCACAAATCTCTCTACAGCATTGGTGAACACAAATGAAGCCTAGGCCTAGAAATGCATATGGTTATGAGATAACAATGTGGATTTTTATAAAATAAATGAAAATACAAGGCAAAATTAAAATAATTCATCATAATGTTTACATGTCTACCAATAACAATAAACTTGACTTTCTAATTTTAAGCAATTTTTAAGCTAGGCAATATGGATAAATTTGACCAGTTTTATCAATATCTTTCTTTGTACACTTGCATATTCTTTTAGAATTAAAAACCCTATTAATCTTCTTGTGTACAGTACTGTACATCACAGTGAGTCTGATCGTCTGGAAATGGGCCCAATCGTCTGTCACCCAAATTTTTCACTGCGATGATCAAGGACTTACGATCTGGACCTAGGCCTAGTAGGCTAGGCCTAGTCTGGGGGATTAAACCGCTACTAGTGCCATCACTCTGCTCTACAGTACCTACACCGTGTAACAAAGCAACCCATGTGGTGCATTCTTAAAATATTACACACATTACTTATGAGACGAGAACACGAAATCATTGATTAAATAATTACTAATGACATTTCTAACACCATCACACGCATAGGACTCGATCTAGCTTAAGCGTAGGTAGTCCTCCATGGATAAACATATGAGACATGTTGCGGCAAAGTGGTTAAGTTGTCGCACAGTCCAGTATTGAGTAAATGAGCTATAAAATATGAGAGCTCAAAAAATTGCTAAAAAATTAAAATTTGTTTCCCACTATAGATCAACAGTTTAATGCCTTATTAATCATATCCCAAAGTATTAGTTCTGGAAGTGGTTAACAAATTGTTTATATAACGTTATTTTTCATAGTTCATTCTATTAAACAGTGTATGCACAAATAACTTTGAAAGGCAATTACTCAAAATCCTGTTTATCTTGACTCTAAGAGTACTGTACTTTCACTTTCCAATAACTTAGGCTTGAAATGTCTAATTTGAATGAATGACCCCTCATTTTAAAGATCACATACTCAGGTATCTGAAAATACCAATAACTTGAATTTCAATTTTTGCTACAACTTAGCCATTTTACCACAACATGCCTCATATGCTCGGAAGTTGTTATGTACCCGATGGTTGGCTGCCTTTAGGTATACTTTGTCGCCAGTTTGCGCCTAAAGGGTACACTACCAGCTAGCCGGCTGTCGTGAATATAGTACCTTCATGTACCTTATACAGCCACTGCCGTGCATCCACCGCGTTAAAATAACAAATCAATACTTGCGAAGCACGCCATGACATTTGCAACTAAACTACCAATAAAACAACACAATAAACTTTGCATGGCTATGGATTGGGGGAAAATGGAGCTTGAACGAAAAAACGATGTATTTTAGCAAGTACTGTATTTGAAACTTTTAAATGATTTTAAGCCTTCGCCCAAAATGGCTAAAAGCAGTTGGGTATTTTTTCGCCAATCCAAAATAGTTTTCACCCAAGGGTCGCCAGACAGGCAATACCCAAGACATTTATTATCGCCCGACACCAAAAAATGTCGCCACTGGTGACCGGGCAACCTCTAATTTTCAGACCTGCTCATTTCACATGCACAACTACACACTATTATAATCTTCATCAACTTTTGAATAACAATTTTTCAAGGACTTTTCAAACTTCCAAATACTGTACTTTGCCATAAATGAACAAACCCTGAAATTATAAAGTAGTAGAAGTTACAGGAATGGTAAGTCAGGATGGCAATAGGAGGGGATGATGGTGGGGAAAAGAGGATGATGAAAAAAAAAAAAGTTGAGATTGTGGAAAATTGGCGGCCAATGAAAGATGATGGGGGTACAAACCTTTTTGCTCCTCCTGCATCTGGTGACACTATACAACTGTTCTTCCATTCAGGAATATTATCTCTGATCCATTTGAGAACAGCTGGCTCGGCATACAAATTATCCACAGGAATGTCAAAAAATCCCTACACATCAAAAATAATTTTGTTAATAATAATAATAATATGTGGTTCTTATATAGCGCTTAATGCCTTAACAAAGCCTCTAAGCGCTTCACATTATTACCCCGGTCATTGGATCAAACACATATGGAACACATTGAACACTAAATGAAATTATTAAATTAAATTATATCTCCATAATATTGCGGCTAGTAATCAGCGCAGTGTTGGAACCTACCAGGTACCCACTTGTACTCCTGGGTGGAGAGAGGCAACCGTAGATATAGTGCCTTGCCCAAGGACACAAGCGATTTACACAGCGAGAGTTCGAACCCCCGTTGTTAAGGGGTAATTCCATAAGTTTGGACTTAATATTTAATATTTTCTATTCAACCGATTTTCAAAATACAGTTCATTTGTATTTATTGCAATGTTTATGTTGAAATACTTACCAAATTACCATACATATATATTAAGCTTTATTTCACTGATTCTGGTAGTGATCCAATAAAATGCTAGGCCAATTTCAAGTACCAAAGGGGAAAAACCAAATTGCAGGTATTTTGACTGTGAGATACATTGGTCCAGCCAAGTTTATGTTAGAAAGAAATTTACCTGGATTTGTGAAGCATGCAAGTCCATGGTAATTATGTGATCAGCACCAGCAACAGACAGCATATTTGCAACAAGTTTTGCAGATATCGGGGCACGACTCTGATGACAGAAATCAAGATTTAACATATTTTTAAATCCTTAAAAAATATGCAAACATTATAAAGTATATCTGAGGTTGCAGGCTGTGATTGGTTGGTTAATAAGATGCTCATTTACAATTACAAGGTCCTACATTCGAACTCTGCAACCTCCATCATAAAAAATCTTGGTAACAATTAGCACATTGAGGGTGACAAATGATGACTTTAGCTGGATGGATCATCCTTGAAAAAATAGAAAAATCTAAAGATGCACGCAAATTGGCCTCAGAGCTCAGCAGAATATTCAGTGGGTATTTAGAATGCCTTGGGTTTAAACCCTTATGGGGATACAGTATTATTATTATTATTATTCTTAAAAAAAATATTATCTTGTTAATATGGTACCGGTATAAGAGAAAAACACAAAAAGTATATTTATATCTTTTAAACTTACTTTATCTTTCTTGTCTTGTCTGGCATATGGAAAGAGCGGAATAACAGCAGTGACACGATGAGCTGAAGCAATTTTACAGGCATTGATCATGATGAGAAGTTCCATTAAGTTGTCATTGATGTCTCCACAACCACTCTGGACAATGTACACATCTTCTCCACGGACACTCTCGCCGATTTCAACACTAAAAGCAATTTAAACAATACAAATATATGTCAAGATTAGATTTTTATCTTTTTATTTGCAGCCTTTTGCATTAATGATCTTTTTTACTGTAAATTACCATATAAATGTACAAAGCAGTTCAGCGCGGTGGAAATGGTTTGGTTTCTCAACCTCAAGGTCGGGTTTCAATCCTTCGCTGTGCATTTCGCTTATGTCCTTGAACAAGGCACTTTATCTATATTTCTTCAGTTTTCCCATCTTTATTAGTGGATACCAGCAAAAGTAACCTGAGGTAGACTAGCATCCCACCCTAGGGGTAGCATGACATCCCCAGTTTCTGTAGCATGAAGCAGATACAGAAACTGGGGATAAGATCCAGGCCTATGAGCCCTAGTGTCTTGGCAAGGATTTACTTTTATATTTTACTATAATCAACCTACTGTACAGACAGTTTGAGTTCAATGTTCACATGATTTTAAAAAAATCAAAATGCATCTTTGATGTTTGTTAAGTCATTTGATGTGTATTAATTTATGTAATAACTTCTTTCGACTTATATATGTATATCAATATCAACCAATTGGAAACATCTGTTGCAAAATCAATACAAATTTCTAATTGCATTAATTCATGCTTACATTTTAATTCAGACACTTTTTTAATCACAACTATAAATGCACTTGTCAATTGTAGTCCTGGCCCCTCTGGACCCGGACCATAGCGGGGCACTAGCTGGGACTGAGCCGGGGATGTACACATAGTTGTGTCACCGTAGTGCCGGGACGTACCTAAAATTTACCCGTAGATGTAACAGGCCCGGGGAATTTTACACGTTAGAGTAGTCGCGGTTTCAGGTGTGTACGGCGGTAAGTGGCACGTTAAAACGAACCACCGCATTGCCGGGAGGTGGCTGAGACTTTCACATGCATGTAACCTTTTTGGAAATTACATCCCCGGTTAAGTCCTCGCTAGGCCTGTGTGGGGGGGGGGGGGCACTACAATTGACAAGTGCATATCTTCGTTAAACTTTTGATCAGTAAGCTCCCACATCCCCTCACATCCGAAGGTACACCTCAGGATGTAAATTCCCTTTAGGATTACCCCTGATACCACATGGTTTTACTCATTTTTAATGTCTTTCTCAATATTTTTAAATTGTAGTTTTTATGTGAGGTACTGAAATAAATCAAATAAATATATAGAACAATATTTTGTTTACCAGTTTATTTATGCAATGCTGTAATTTATATTTTTCCTTCTCTTCTAAGCCTGTTTGCTTCTTCGTTATCCAAAACACAAATTATGAATAAATGTTTAATTGCCATCCAAATTTCAAATTTTTAATAGAGTGTTTCAAATATCGTATAAAGATGATAATGATGATGACAACAGAATAACACTCAGCTCAGCACTCACTCAGCCACTGGGCATTTGTTGCAGAGAAGCCTACCTACCAATCCATTTTACCTAGCCGGGGCTACACAACTTACCACGTTTCCTGATTGCTGAATTTTTTCGTTACCACTTTTCCAAGCGGAATTCCAAGTCGCTCAGCAATTTTTTGTGCTAAATCTGCATGAGAAGAACCACTAAATACTTTGATATTAGGCATTTTGAAGGAATGTGTTCTTTATTAGATGACGAACGTCAACACAAATGCGCCACTTTCAGTGAAACAAATACATGTGTTTCTAGATAGGCCCTATGATATGTAAAGTAAAGCTCGATGGTCATTGGTCACTGATTGCGCATGCCTTTAAGTATCGATAGAGTAAAAATACCCGCTAAAATATCAATTAAGTTTAGGAAATAATCATAACTGGTATATCATACTATATAAAGCGTAGAAATATTTGCATGCATTAAATTTAACTCTACCATTCATTTAATAACCTGAAGGTACTAGCCTAATCTAACAAAATATTTTAATATTTATATTATACAACATAACCCCATCATCGATCACAGGTCGATGAATTCCCATATGCGCGAGTTCATTCGTATATTTCAGGAAATACCCACACTCGAGCGAATTTTGATTTTGAGACTATTAGTTATTCAACACTATCTAATAGGTCTAATATGTAGTAGGCCTATTGGTACAGTATATCGGGGTGCGACAGTGGGGGAGAGCATCCTGATATGTCACGTCGGGTGCGGGGGTTGGGGTGGGTGAAAGCTATCGTCCACATGTAAATATTCAAATAAAGTTACAATATGCAAATTAGGAGCAAAAATCTTAATTTTTCTATTCCTTAACCATTTGTAATGTTCTGAGCTTTTGTACCCAAAGTGTGTAGCACTTAACCATTTTCACAGAAATGTGAGGCCTTCTATGTGATGCAAATGGTTGTGTGTTCTTTCAATGCTAGGCCTATGTTATGTTACATTTATTCACTTGCATGTCGCCTTCAACAACTTACTATACTCACAAATCGAGACTTTTCTTTGGCCCACCTGCAGTAATTATTTTTTATTTCGATTTCAATACAATCATTAAAAGGTATAGGCTAACATTCATTTGAAAAAAGATTTTTTTAAAACTATGCCTTCAGTAGCGGATTCAAGTGAAGGGGACCAAACCGGCCCGGGCCCCCGAAATTTTTCAAAAAAACAAAAAATGGAGAAAATATGAAAAATTATATTCAAAGGGCCATTTCCGGTCGTCTAGAGGTGCCAAATCGTAAATTTTCTCACCTCAGCACAAACCGTCCATTATCTGAAGTGTAGGCCTACACCCCCCCCCCCCCCACCCATCCCACCGTCAGAAAATTTATGGATCGATCCGCCCCTACCTACTGTCGAACTTCTTAATGAATGAACTGAATGGATTCATGCAAGTCACCTGTCTTAATCTTACACACTGTATAATCATGGATGTATAAAATACAAAGTATAATTAGGCCTATCCTTTCTTAGTAATTCGCTTACTGAATTAAAACTGTTATTTACAATTGTCGTATTGCTAGGCTACGTCTACTAAATTTCTAGGTATAGGCCTACGAGACAAGAGATTAGCATGGAACATTCACGCCAAAAATCTATATTTCAAGAATTGGTGTAACATAGGCCTTCAATTTAAATCTCCGAACTTCTGAAGCTGAGATTCTATAAATGTAGGCTTGTATCGCAGGCTACAATTTAAAAACGGGTTACCAAATAATTAGGTGCTAAATTTTGACTTAATGCTAGGTAAGTTAAAAACAGACATTCCTTCCGAGTGGGACTCATTCAAAAATTTGAGGGGGTTCGCTAGAAAACAGGGGGGTTCGCTAGAAAAGGGGGGGTTCGCCCGAACCATAAAAACCCCCCCTGGCTACGGGCCTGAATGACGGCGTCTAAAAAAAATCTCACTAAAAAAAAAATCTTCTTTTTCAAAAACCAACTGTATGTCTATTTAAAATAGTTCTTCCTCCATTTCCAAACCATCTTTGGCACCTGAAAAATTAGGTTGGTCTTGGGTTCGATCTCTAAATGGAGACATAGGCTACTCAACGACTGGCCTCAAAAGAGCATTAGAAAGTATGGAAATCATCTACAGTAAATGAGACCATGTCTGAACACTGGTCTCTAAAATCTGCATTAAGAGGGATTCATGCAAGTAACCTGTCTTAATCTTACACACCTGTATATCATGGAGGTATCAGGGGTGGCGCCAGGATTTGCCGAGGTCCCCAACGGGGGTGGGGGGAAATGGGGGCCGATGCCCCCGAGGGCGAGGGGTCAGATCTTTGAAAATGGTCCAGGGGCGAAGCCCCCAAAAGGTTTGACGATTTAGGGGTTTCCAAAGCTTATTTAATCGATTTTAGAGTCTACTAATATGTAGAAAATACATAAAATTTTGATTTTCTTCACGACAAATTGTGCTTTTTCTCCCCGTTAAATTGTGCTTTTTCTCCCCGACTGGCGGGGGTGGGGGAGGGGCGCAGCTCTCCCCTTCGCTGGCGCCACCCCTGGGAGGTATAAAATACAAAGTATAGGCCTAATTATGCTTTCTTAGTAATTCGCTTACTTAATTAAAACTGTTATTTGCAATCAAATCTCTATTAGTTTAAGTAAGAGACTGAACACCCACCTTTTCACCATGCTGTCTAACCATCTTCTAATGTTCTGGTTTTTTTGTTTTGTTTGTTTGTTTGTTTTTTTATTTGTCTTTGTTAAAGGTGTTTTCCCCATTTTTTCTGATTTATTTATTCAAAAACACATGCTGTGCTCTGGACGGTAAAAGCCTGCAATACATAAGAATATCAAAAATCCAAAAATTATAAAAAAAAAAAAACAAAGGCCAAAACTGCAAGTGGTCTCCATAAATCAATGTTTCTTTTGTCTTAAAAGAATTGAATACTTAAAAATTTGTTATGATTAGGGTTTCTAAATAACTGAATCATTAAAAAAAAAAGAGCATGCTATTCACAAGGACAATAATGCAACTTGGCTCATACCGCAATATAGTTCATCAACAAATTCTAGAAAAAGATGTTAATACTGGTAGTTAAACCAGAAAACATTGAGGGGTACCATCATTAGTATACATGATCAGTACCATGAGAAATGGGTCTATGTTTTGATCAAAACATACTTTTATTGCAATTATCAATACAAAGTAGTTGAATTAACATCAAGAATCATTATAGAATTATTAAAAGTTAAAACAAGGGAATAAGAATAAGGCACCTCAAACAAACACTCGTTAGTTATACAGTAATATAAAATATTCATTAGGCATCAAAATGGGCAACAGAAATCATTAAATTCATAAGTTCGAAAGTGAAATTAGATAAACAATTAAAAATACTGGGCCATGCAGACGACTGCAAAAGGAGCACTTACCAGTTTTGGAACAGCAGACCAAAGTTTAATGATTATGAATTTTGTTTAAATATTTCAATTTTTAACTATAATTGGGAGAGCCTTATGGTGGGCCTTGGTGAAAGATAATGAGTCTATGAGATCCTTTCTGGAAGTATAGCTGATAATTTCTAACAATTTCGTACCAAAGTTATTATAAAATCAACGGCTAGAAAAACTGGCAAAAATGCAATGCATATAGAATTTCACAATAATTGGGAACGATTTTAGTTAAATAATACTATCTTAATGTACAGTATAAGAGAGTGAAAGTCCACTCAACACAATTGGTATATTCTACATGTTTTCAAAACTGGTAATTAAAATGACATTTTAATTCGAATAAAAATATGTCAAACTCTCAGTTATCTATTGACTTTTAATGTAAATTGCATTTTTTTCTATGATGATCATACTTTTATTGAGATGTTTTACGAGAATTTATAATGTTTTAAATTCAAATTTAATTTTAATGTGTAGGCCTATATCATAATTTACCAGTATATGTTTACCAGTACATGTTTTAATTCTAATTAAATTTAATGTGTATTTATTATGGCCCTTATTTATACAGTATTTGTATTTTACCTACGATATAGTAATAATATTATTGTGATTTATGTATGTGGGCCTTATAATATTTTATGAAACTAATTAGGTTTGTGTATTTGTTTTTTTAGATTTAAGCATGGCACTTAATTAATTTAAGGACACGGCTTTGAAAAACAACTTCAATTTTTTAAATATCTGTTGCTTTAGTCAAACGATGCTTTTGATAAACTCCCCTCGAATAAGCACCCCCCCTATAGAACCTTTAAAATAATAGGCCTCCCTCAAATAGCGCCCGATGCGTTTATTTTTTTCTTTGAACAAACGCGCACCCCCTCCCCCACCACCATCCCTAAATGAGTATAAAGAAATCTAAATGGAAACAATATAATTCTCAACACATTCTATTGATGCTCTATGGGCGAGTAGAATTGCATTTTTCCTAACCTACTGGGATCAGGTCACGCAATTTTAGCACATTTTGACGCTCACTGCAATAACCACTTCCCATCTCCCTCTCTATAGATCCCTGGTTCCTAATTAATTAATTTATTTGAAGGGCCAAGTTATTTCATTTTTTCACTATTTCTTGCTTATCTTGCTTGTGTAAAACCATCAGAAAACAAAATTGGTTGTGCCAAGATTTGCCAGATGCAGGGGAGGGGAGATATCACTGGAGGGGGTCCAGTGGACGGAGTCCCGGAAAATCTGATAATTTATTTTGAATACATAGGCTTAAGCACCATAATACGTATATCCACCACCCCCCCCCCCACGAATTGTGTTGAGTTCTCCGTCGGGGGAGCTCCCTCTGGCGGGGGTCCTGCCACCTCAACCGCAACTGGCACCATCGCATAATTTCATTCAAGAATGTGAAATGGATGGAGCAAGGGAATGACTTTGACAGATTGAGGTTCTACTACGCGTCATCCCCACCATGGTTAAGGATGAGGCGTAGTAGGAAATATAGGCCTATTATGGCACATCTACATGGCTGGAGATGGCACTTCCACCTACTTAAATTTGAATATAAATTTCTATTCCTTTTTAAAATCAATTTAGTGATTTTTTAATTTTCCAACCCGGAAAATGTGGACCGTTGGCAATATTTTTTTGGGTGGGGGTGGGGGAGGGGGCTGCGTACGTTGATGTACTTTACTTTACCTACTTCAAAGCCTCGAGTCCACCCATCTCTTACATAGTGAAATTCATCATCATCACATCACCATTATAGTTAAAATGAAGCGCCAACGAATTCTCATGATCTTTTATCAGCGATTTTCGGCAATCGTAGAGATGTAAATAATCTGTATGGTGTACTATATGAAAATAAAACTTTAAAACATTGTCTTTGATGTATTTACTTTACTTTACCACATACGTCGCGACTCCACACCCATCTCAGCCTCACCATGGTTGTGGCCGAGGGGCGAAAATTAGAGTAAATAGTACCTCTAGATTACCGGAAATGACACTCTTAAGCCTTATATCACTATAACAACTCCCTGATTATAGTAAAATTCAGCATCATCACATTATCACCATTATTTTAAAATTTAAAATAAAATAAAACATCATTATCATAGTAAAAATGAAGCGCCAACAAATTTCTCTTTATCTTTTACAAGCGATTTTCGGCAATCAGAGATCTGATTAATTGCTGTGATGTTCCGTAGGCCAACCATAGAAAATAAAACCAATTAGGCCTAATTTTGTTTGATGTATTAGTTTATTTTACCTATGCCTACTTCATGTGCCGAAAACCAATTTTATCTTTACACGCTTTCTTCCAAACTTCTTAAATTATGTTAAAACCGGGGTCATTTATGCAGTTCTTTTCAAAAATTTTCAGGCATCTTTTCTTGACTTCTGAAATCACATTGACGCCAAAAGTCACGTGTGGGGGGAGGACCAACACCGTTAAAAATATGTGGTGGTGGGACGTCGGGTGCGGATCTGGATTCAACTTTAGGAAGGGGTAAAAATGTTCCTAACAATCCCCACCCCCCCCCAACCACCACTAAAATATGGCGGAAAATGTGCTTTTCCGACTACTGAACTGTCTTTTAATGACTTTTAAGTTCTTTAAAATTTTATTTTTTATCGGTCAGGTAATTCTTTCTCATTCTTATTACAGTATATGAGTCCTCCCCAGGAAAATTTTGATTCTTAGATGCCGGGAAATGAGCATTCCCGGCTCTGAAGTGTCTTTTAATGACAGTACTTCAAATTTTAAGGTTTTCACCTCTTAAAAGCGGTCAGGTAAATTTTTCTCATTTTTATTACAGTAAATATGCCTAGGACTATTGTGTATACATACATCAAAAAAAAATGGTTAGTTGCAGACGTAGGCTATTCTTTTTTCTTTTTTTCATGAATCGATGAACCGGAAAAGGAAGAGGTGCGGGGTTCCTGAAAATTTTGATTCTCAGATGGCGGGAAATGAGCTTTCTCGATTTCTGATTTTCCCATTGTAACAAAAAACCAAAATTCAGCTCACGGGTCCTTAAAAGGTAGGTCTAGATTTTTTTATTTTTTTTTTTGGCAGGATCTTCACATCATGCCATTCGCTCACATGGATATTCGGCCAAACGCGGATTCGCACTTGTGTTAATTGAACTCGGCCAGTCCCATTTTGGATTGTTGAATCGTTCTCTCCCGTAACGTTGTAGGTAGTACTATATTTGTGCAGGCTTACGTTAGAGCTGTGTGTCCTCGTTACCCACAAATGTGATTGCACATTTTCCAACTCAGATTGCAGTAGAATTATATATATATATATATGGAACCATGGCTAATATTGCCACTCAGAGAGTTTCGAGAGAATTGAATGAAGTTCAAAGAAGCGAAGAGGTAGGCCTATAGTGTACTCCTCTCCTCCTACGCTAGGCCTAGCCTAGGCCGCGTAGGCTTACCTAATTTACAAATTTTATTCTTGTAAGTAGGGCTAGGCCTAGGCTAGATAGTGTAGGCTAGCTGCAGCATGATGCGCTACAGCAGTTTCTTTGGCCTGGTCTAGGCTAAGCCTATGTGAACTTCAGCCATATCTTCTAGCTTGTCTGGCTAACTATCCGTTGGCATTTGGGCGTATCAACATCAACTTCAAGCTTTGATTAGCCTAGGCCTAGCCCCTAGTTGAATCTAATAAAAAGGTACAAAGTGCATTGCTGTCTCAGCTAGGCCAGGGAATAAAAAGAAATATTATTTTAAAGCGTTTATATCAAATGTTGACCTGAATTGGATGAACAATTGGATAGGCCTACTGCAGACTATATAAATTTTCGTTTGTACGCCAATGAGATACAAAGAAACACCAGCCATGTTTGTACTTGTAACGATAAAATAAAAAGCTAAAAAGCAATTGTTCATATAGAAAATAAAAGAAATATAAGAGAAGTTTTTATACTAGGACGATTCGATAACGATTTATTTATCGATAACAAAATATTTTGACAAATCAATTCAAGTGACGTCATAATCATGGTAAAAAACGATAAAATCGTTGTTACTACTACGAATTATTGTTTTTCAATGAATATGACATCACTTAATTAATTTGTCAAAATATTTTGTTACCTTATACAAGATAAATCGTTATCGAATCGTGCTAGTGTAAAAACTGGTCTAGAGTGGCTTATTATTTTTAACAATTTTCTCAGTGGGAGGAGACAACTCCTTTCCAAATCCCCACTCAAGCCTACAGCCCTTGGATGGCGCTACGCATAACAGTACAATTCTTGCCCTGCCTATCGAGGCGTTGCCGTGCCGCTGGGAAAATCCTAGAGCTGCCACTGTGTGGAATATGGTTATACCAGAGATATGCAAAATAGACAGTCATTGTACATACACAAAAATAATTTTATGATGGAGAACCTTTTTTTTTTTATCAATTGTTGTAAGAAGAAAGTACACCTAGTTTGATCTGGAGTACCTTCAAACCCACTACTTCACATATCTATGTTGCTTTAATAAATGTTTAATTATATTTAACAGGCAGCAAATAGTCTAATTGAACTAAAGCTAGTGGAAAGTAATTGCACGCACCTTCGAGGAACTATATGTGGGCCACCTGACACAGCCTACGAAGGTGGCACGTTTAATTTAGATATCAACATACCAGAAACATATCCATTTAATCCACCAAAGGTAAGGCTCTTTGGGCTTAAGAGTACCCCAGTACTCACGGAATTGTGAATAAGAAAAATCATCTGATTAATTTGGAAGGTGCCACATTTATTTCAGATATCAACATATCCAAGAAACATCCATTTAATCCATCAAAGGTTAGGCTATGCAGGCCTTCAGTACTCAAGGAATTGTGACAATAGTCATTTCTGTGAATTCAATTTAGGTGGCACCATTATTTTAGATACCGCCATCCTTTCTTAGGAGGAGGAAGAGCATTTTTAGTGTGAATCACACCAAGGTTAACCCACTAAGTCTGAAGACTACAATGTGTAGTCACACAAAAATTCAGGCAAATAAGTACATACAGGTCTCTACAATATGTGCTATATTATAAGTCAACAATTATTATATAGTGAACATTACTGATGTACTGTACATCATTGTTTTTTTTTTGCCATGTGGGATAGAACAGGTAACACTTGGTAAATTAATAATAGTGTATATTTGTATAACACCGGTATCCATTAAACAAGATGCTCATGGCGCTTGATATGTGGACTAGGAACAATGACTTTCTTCGTCCGTAAGGGTCCCTTCATGTCTATGCTACCCAGTACCAGCAACTCTTCGTCGTCAACAATTGTGGTGCTAATCCAAAGAATTCTATATTCAGTGTTATTTAGTGCCATATTATTAACATTTGTTGTATTAGATGATGGTGGTAGAAATTTTTTCACTCAGGTAAAATTCATCACAAAGATCTGGCATCCAAATATCAGCTCAGTAACAGGTGCCATATGCCTCGATATTTTGAAAGATCAGTGGGCAGCTGCCATGACACTTAGAACAGTATTACTTTCAATACAAGCATTACTAGCTACTCCAGAACCAGATGATCCCCAGGATGCTGTTGTTGCTAAGCAGGTGAGATAAATACAACTTGCATACTTATTCTGTCTCTTAAGCATCAATAATGTTAATAATATTCAAATAGTAAATTAAAAATAAATGGAGGGTGGTGGGAGGCGGTGGCGATATCCCCGACAAGAGCAAAGTGGGCCTGGTCAGGCATTGCTCAAAATCTTTTAAAATTGTTCCTGGGGAGCGAAGTCCCAAATAACATGACATTTAGGGTTTCAAAGTCTAATTTAATCGATTTTAGAAATGTAGATAATAAATAAATAAATAATACATTTTTATTCTCCCTTACAAATTGTGGTTTAAATTCTCCGAGGTCTGCAGTCTCGGCATTTTTTTACTACCTAGGCCTATAAACTAAGATTTTTTCCGAACGCTCGACTTTACATCGTCATCTACAGGTCGTGATTTTGTTAGTTATTAAGTATAATATATATGTTTTTATATACAAAAATCGCCTAACAAATATTGTTTTAGCATTACCTTTAGCATGGGAAATATCAATTTCATAAAAGCTACGATCGTATCAACCCAGGTTGTCTGTGCTTCTAAGCTGCCCATGCATGTCCATGCGCATGTCCAGAAGGATCTATGTGAGATTTTCCACACATGTACTTTTGATAGTAGTGAAGTCACGATGCAATCGTGTTTGTGTTTAAGCGGACAGTAGGATTAGACCTACAATATGTTTAATTTGGTTGTTTTTAGATGATAAACAACATTTTAAATATGATGATAATACTGTACAATGAAGACAAATAATAGATGTAGATAGCCCATATGGATTCAATTGGGCGATGTTTTATGCCTTGGCTGGCTAGCGGCACTCCTACCTAACCTACGAAACGAATAGGCCTAGCTAGATGAGAAGGACAAGCACACATCGTATGTGTGCCTATTAAAAATAATTATTGTACAATCAAATCTGTTTACGAACAACCAGTTTCCTTGGTTTGACGACGTACTTTAAATTTAGTTTCTGCTATAGCCTGTTTCAGTCAAAGTTTTGACTTCCCAAGCAGTTTTTGAAGCAAAGAAATCTAGGCCTAGACTTTGGCAGTTCTGGCTCAGCAATATGGTCAGCAATTGCTGATTGCCAACGTGAAATTCATGAACTGCGGTTTTTCTCCCCGACTGGGGGCCCTGACCCCCCCACTGGCACCACCCCTGCATTGTAGCCTGACGAAGTCATAGTGATAACAATAGTGAGCTTTTGAAATGGGCAACTCCATGGGCAACTCGGGGAGTTGCGACGGGAAATTCAGTCAACCATGAACGTCGTACTATGCACTTCCCATCTCAACATCAAAGCTGTTTCGATTTACTGGACGACACGCTCCCTCGTATCGCGTAATCAATTATGCAGGTGCCCCAGCAAGCGCGTATTTGTAAAACTCATGTTGCTGTAGTCAGCACAACGTCAAATCTTTTAAAGCCTTTGGTCAAATCCACACAACAAACAAATTTCCCATGTATTTGCGTGCGCAGTACGGTTTCACGCTCCACTGCCCTTGTAGAACGCTGCGTCGTCCAAATCGAAAGCTGCTTATTGGCGAAAGCTGGCAGTAAGTTTACATCCATTGTGTTTGTTTTACTATCGATAAACCAGTCCTACAGCAATAATGATAATCCGGGGCTCATCCATAATTTTTTGTTGGGGTGGCAATCAAGGCCCTATTTCAAAAGTGGGTGAGGAGGAAGGTTTTTTAAGTTGTTCCCATAGCTATTGTTGGGTTTTAGGGAGCTAAATTTCCGACTTGAAATATTGAACCCCCCACCCCATTGAAAAATGTCCTTTATGTAACTCACAGTGGAGTGAAAAAAATATCTTGTACTGCTATGGGCATTTATAACGCACCTCTTCCTAATGGTTATAAAGCGTAGTTCTTTTCCCTGATCCCACCAGGTACCCATTTGTACTCCTGGGTGGAGAGAAGCAATGCAGATAAAGTGTCTTGCTCAAGGACACAAGTGAAATGCACAGCAAGGGATTGAAACCCGACCTCGAGGTTGGGAAACCAAACCATTCCTGCTGCGCTAAACCGCTTCCACATAAAAACGATTGTATACGCAAAGTCAGGTGTATCTTCGGTGTGTCTCTTTTCTTGAACACCTCGAAGATATATCAGACCTAAGTATACAATCATTTTTATTCTTTTCACTCTATCGTGAGTTAAAAAAATACGTTATTGGGGTAAATATTTAAAATCTGCAATTCAGACCCGAAACTGACTTAGAAAATAGGCAGGAAAGCTATCATTTTAGTCGATGTGTGTTTGATTTGTAATCGTTGTGCTAGTTGAAGTTTGTTTTAAGAATACAAAATGAAGTACTTTTGAAGTTTAGCCCGAACTTCCACTATAAGTGTTCGTTTTAAGAATACAGACGTTGGTCAATCCAGTATTAAAAGCAGATTATTAAGGACATAGCTACTGTACTTTATAAATTGTATTTTTCACCATGAGAATTCTGTGACATAGCATGTTTAACCATATTACTGTAAGGTTGTATTAAAACCCTAAAGGCAGGCTCAGGTCGACACGGAACTCAACTCAACTCAACTCGTCGACATGAGCGCTCCGCGCAACTGAAAGGAACTGACCGCAACTGAAAGGAACTGACAGTCGCGCATATTTGTCGACATGAGTCAAGTTGAGTTGAGTTGAGTTGAGTTCCTTTCAGTTGCCCATGTTCAACTTTTTGCGTAAATTGAAAGGAACTGAAAAAAGCGCGAAAAAAATGCTGATTCGGAAGTCAAAGGAACTGAAAACGTTGATCCTGATATTAATCGTAATCAAGATGCATTAACTGAAAAAAGATATTATATTACAATGTTTTGTTAATGGCAGATTACTTTATTCTTTGTTTTAAAAAATATAGGCCATAGGCCAGATTTTTATTCTAACACGTTAACAAGTAGGCCTAGGCTAGGCCTAATAATAATAATAAAATAATAATAATAATAATACAGCATATACTTACCATATTCAAACTAGCCTAGGCTAGGCCTAAAGTGTAGAAAAAGGCAGGCTTCCTATGCCAGGCCTACTAGTCTACATAAACTCTACGTAGGACGAGTAAAGACGTGACAACTAACTGGCATGCAGATCTCACTTCCAAAATCCATTTTTACGAATTATAAATAATCCAGTAATTCTTGGGAGTTAGTTTTGTACAAATTCTTTAACAGTAGAACATTTATCTAGGGCCTAGGTTTAGGTCAAAAAAAGCTAAATTCCTTTTTCAGAAAGTCCCTCTGCAGTGTAGTGTTAAATTATGAATTCTATCAAAAGTATGCTGCTGCATTCGCGTAATATTAAATTAATACATTTTTATAACATATTTGACAGCTGATTCATGTAAACATTGTCACATATAAAATGCATTCGTGTATACTTGTTGTTTTTGTTTTTGTTTTTTCATATAGAAAAAGACCTTTCTTGTTTTAATTGTTCCTTCAGATTTTGCATGATCCCATTTCAAATAGACCAATATGTGATACACTTTTCTAAATTAAAAAAAAGAGTAGATAAACTTCAAAAATAATTTTATTATTTTTAACCACACGTCTAATCTTACAAGCATTCAAACATTTATTTGCAGTTGATGAGATTTCGAAGAAAATGAAATCTTTAAAAACTCAATTCTGTCGACTACAAACAGGCACCATTTGTTTCAGTTGCTGGTCGTCATTTTCAAAACAAAAAAATAAAGTACATACACTTTTTAAAATAATTACATGTTTTAATAAAAACATTACAGGCATTTTGCAGTTGATGGGATTTTGTGGGGAAAATGTTTTTAGCCAATAGTTCCTTTCAGTTGCCAGTCGACATGAGCCAAGTTCCTTTCAGTTCCATTCAGTTGCTCGAAGTCGACATGAGTTCAGTTCCTTTCAGTTGCGCGGAGCGCTCATGACGACGAGTTGAGTTGAGTTGAGTTCCTTTCAGTTCCATGTCGACCTGAGCCTGCCTTAAGAACAAATCAAAATATTATATAATGAATTTTGCAAAACCACACTCTTCAAACACAATGGACACCATCTACCCAAGTCACCATTGTTCTATCAACAGCGCATTTCATCAGAATCCTAATCTGGAGTCGTCATCAGCTTTATAAGGACCTCCTTATAGCTTATCATCATCCTTCTACTGAAGATGGTGAAACTTAGATTATACTTACCAAAACGTTTGGGGTATTACAATCCAAAAACGGTTCTTCTTGGAACCAAAATACCATCAATCAATTGAGATTTGTAGCATATGCCATATGGTGTACTGGAAACATATAATTTTTTAACAATGAATTTTATTATTGTGTTTAGTACAAAGAAAACCAGTCTGAATTTTTAAAAACAGCCAGACATTGGGCATCAGCGTATGCTGGAGCACGCAATAAAGATCATCCAGAATTACACACCAAGATTGAACAACTTAATGGTATGGGATTTGATCAAGTAAGTATGTTTTTTGTGTATTTCAATACACTTATTGTTTTAGTGAGTGGATACAGAAATAATCATTGGCAATGTCATATTTCATCTGTTTAGTTATATTGCCCTGCATGTACTGTATTGACTTTCATAATTCTATGGTTGTATAACAGCACAAATTGCCAAAGCTTCTATTCATATTACATTTTAACTTTTATTTATTTCCATCCGTTTAACTAATAAACAGTTATTTATTTGTTGTTTTTCATTTTATCAGGAGAGCGCAAGGTCTGCATTGTCGCAATGTAATTGGGATTTGGAAAAAGCTATTGACCACTTAACGGATGGCTAGCAATTATACAGATAACCATAGAGCAACAATTAACAATGGACTTCCAAGAGATTTTGATGCAAGAAAAGTGTGTGCTTGGGAAAAGCATGTTCTGGGCAATAAGGAAGAAAAACAGCAAACAGAACAGTAAAAAGTTGATAGGTGCCAAGGTAACAACTGACCAAATATACTGAAGTCACACCACTTGCTATTGGAAAGTACCTTAAACAGTGATTCTGATTTCTCTTGCTGAATAAAATTGCAAAAAACTTAACTAGGTGAAACGGATCGAGAGCTCTTTCCTGGTTGACAAACAAGCCATGGGTGTAACCACCATTATAGTTATGGTATTATAAAAGAAAACAAGTGGAGAATAAATAAATAAATTTTATAGTCATTATAGAAAGAATTAGGTTGATAATGTTTAAGCTCTTTAGTTATAAAAAAAAAAATACCAGAGTGCCACATGCAATGAATGAAAATCAAGTGCCGAACTATAAAATTTTGTTTGAAAAATTATCCAATCTGAGCACAGATTCACATATGGCTCTCCTCGCTGTGATACTGATCCAGCCAATCTAAGCATAGTGGCTCGTATGGTTGGCAGCACTGTGATGCTCATCCAGCCAATCCAAGTATGCTATGCATATGGTGGGCAGCACTGTAACACTGAACTAGCCAGGCTAAGCGTAGTGGCTCGTATGGTGGGCAGCACTGTAACACTAATCTAGCCAAAGTAAACGTAGTGGCTCGTATCTTGGGCAGCACTGTAACACTGATCTAGCCAATGTAAGCATAGTGGCTCGTATGATGGGCAGGACTGTAATGCTGATACAGCCAATCCAAGTGCAATATGCACATGGCATGCATTTTAAACTACTTTTATGATTTGATATGAGTTCCATTTAATCCATTTTAAATTTAATTATAAATTAAATGCAAGTGCAGGCTTATTAACTTATGATTCTAAAATCTTATTAAATAAAATAGATTGTGGTGCTTTAAAGCCATTCTTGCAATAGTACTGAATGCATTAAACTGAAGGCCCACCATTGTCAACTTGCCTGTCAAAAATTGTTCTGTAATGTATTCAACTCTTTTTTTACCCTATGTTACCAGTTAGAATGATACTGTTTTATAGCATAGTTACATTTCAATAGCTTATACTGCTGCTGTGAATTTCCTGCACTGCTCTTTATTAGCACATCTTAGTCCCACCATCATTCTGAAATTTATAGTTCCATATGTGTAGTCCTAGCTGAAGAATTCTCACTTTCTAAAATCAAATATTCTCAAAATACATAAAAAAAACCCCTTTGTAATAGTTCTGGTACCCAACAGCAATATTTATGTGAACCGTGAAAGTAAATTAAAAATTCTACAGTATTCTACCTTATTTGAAAACCCTTGTTCTTAAGGGGACATCTGTAAATGTAACATTAGAACTGAGCATAAAGTGATATAAAAACTGTCTATGAAGCTTTTTGCAAGCACATTGGAAACTTCAATTTTCACCATAAGTTTGCATGCGGCCCTCTGTGTTAAATAAGAAACTTTGGCCCTCTGGTCTGTTTTTATGCCCAACCTTGTATGCCATTGTTATACTGCAGTATTAAGGCCTATATTTACATAGAGTGCAACAGTGGCACATGACAGCAACAAAAACAAAAAAAACAAACCAAATATGTTCTTTATGGGTGCACACTGAATGTGATACAACTATACAATAGAACAATATGTCGCTCAGCATAGAATAATTTTCTATTTCCAAAAACTGTCGCACAACAAAAAATAAAGCCATATACTGTACTGTAAATGTAGAGGAATTAAAATAATTTTTTCAAATGTTTTTCCAAAATAAACAAACAAAATATCACATAACACATATTCTCTTTTATAGGCCTATGATTTATCAGTGTCATCAATATCATCACCATCTTCATCATCTTCAGATATCACAATCTGACTTGAATAATCAACACATTCAAACATCTATTCAAAACACATCTTTTTGTTTTTAATTCTAAATTTTTTTTCTACTGTAAAGTAGTGGCGGATCCAGAAGGAGGCACGTTCCCCCGTTTTGCCTCTAAATTTTAAAATTTTTAATGCATATTAAAGTTGTGTGCTACTCACTGAAACAGTTGTGCCCCCTCCTCTGTTTGAAAAATTCTGCATCTGACCCTGTAAAACCCAGTGAGGCTTTTAGCAAAATCTGCTCAATCGAGATTGAAATATTATTATTATTATTATTATTATTATTATTATTATTATTATTATTATAATGATGCTAAATATTGATGTATTATAAAACATTGCCAGAAAGAGCATTCAAAAGCATTTTTCATTGAAATTTTTGAAGTTATTAGACTAATACTTTGAATACCTCATTGCTTTGTCACTGATATTATAAGAATTAAACTTTATAATTTAAATATCTAATGGTACATGCATGCACCTAAAAAACTCAAAAAATATGATCCCATTAACTTTCCATATATTTAGTGCGTGCAGTCAAAGGTGTTTCTATAGCTTTGTGGCCATTGTGTGAAAATTAGTGTTATCTCAATTGTCATGCCAGGCACATTAAAAGTATGTAGTGGCTTTCAATCTCAACTGCCACTTTATTGAATGCATTCATAGTCTGGTGCAGTGGTGTATCTAGGGTGCAGAAGTTCCCCCTCCCAAAAAGAGCTTGCATCTCCCAGTTTCCACTCCCCGCATTGAAAATTCTAAAGCAAAAAAATCACGCTTAAATAGTTCAAAATAACCTTATATTACCTTATTTTGTAACCTAGCGCACCACTTCCCCCTCCCCCCTTTATCATCAAGCCTTAACTCCAATCTTTGCACACCACCCCATTTGAACACTCATAGGTACACCACTGGTCTGGTACTTATGCTATTTGCCTAGAATGTGAAAAATCCTGGGTTCGGGTCCTGGTTGTGGTTGACTTGTATATTTTATTTCTTGATTATGTTTCTCTTCTGTTTCACATCATTTTGTTGCATTATCTGACTGTTTCTTGGTTTTCCCCTAAAACTATCATATGGTATCCATCTTATGGTATCTCTTGTCTGAAAGTTCTCCATCTATTGCTGGCTAACTCACATTTACATTTTAGATTTTGCTTATTTCACAAGATGATTCAATCAGAGTTTCACATTTATGTGTGTATAAAAACTATAAACCCATTCATACATTATAATTCCATGTGTTCATGTCATAGTATTAGTTCAATGTGATGTTATGGCAGTGACACAATTTTAGTAATGATATTGGCAATTTTAAGGTCTTCATTGCCATCTATGGTCCCACAGAAAGATGAATGAAGGTGCACTCAAATTATGTTTACCAACACATGGGAATCATTGTTTATAATGTCCATTGGAATATCTTGACTGTCGCCATATGAATTATAAGTAATTTCTTCTTAATATTTTCATAAGAATTTGGCTAGAAACAGGTTTCTTTTCACTTTGTACATTTCTGTAAAAAGTAATTGTAAATGACAAATTGTAAATGCGATCATTAATTTGTAGGTAGATATTTTATCTTTATATACCTTACAGAAACAAAATTCAAAGTCTAGAAAATATAGTGGATACTTGCATGAATAAAAACTTAATTCTACATACCAAATAGTATATCTTTGCTGTCAGGCATTGGCATATCTAAGGGAATTTGTGTGGTGAGGCACACCCATTCCCCAAAAAGTATGCCGCTTCCATTAAAAATTTGCTAAGCAGAAATTCCCGTCATTTATCCCAGCTAGCAGCGGCCCTTTTGCTTTTCTTTCATATGCCTTGCCATCAGCCATCCCAGTTGCTTCTTAACACTACTGTATTGCAATGAAGTAGTAAACGTATTATACTACACGGATTTGTGTGTGCTTTGAGCATTTATTTTATTAGTAAGTATATTGTAGTGACTAGAATTTCAGGTTTTTAGTAGTATATAATCCACAGGCAGTTATTTCATGTAAATTGTGAAGATTATTATTCATAATCTGCAATGCCAATCTTCAACCATGCAATATCATAATTGGTTTTATTAAACTTGCAATTTAAAATTAATTTTGATTAATAATTGGAAATTGAATGTTATGACCGATATCATTTTGTGAGGCTGGCCAACTCTCTGCTATCATATACCCTTTGTGTACAGCTGCATAGTATGTTTTTTGTGAGATAATAAAGGTGTATTGTCTGTGTTGAGAAAAAAACAACTTGAAAATTAAGATTTAATGTATGAATTGCTTATTTTGTTTTAATAATTTTCAATTCAAGTAAACAGTCTACCAATTAAGTGACATAAGGAAAACTATTTTTGTTTGCATAGACATAGAATTGACTGGTAATTAATTTAAACATTGTGAAAACTGATTTGTTTTGACCTGTGAATACTTATTTGTTAAATGAGCAATTCTATTCTTTTCTATTTTAAGGTTTTCCAATTTCACTACAGACCATATATTTTTAATGCACTAAAGAAACTTTACTGTCTTTTTTAAGTAAAAAAATATATTAAAATTTGACTTGCTCATTCTTTACTATAATGTCTCTATCAACAGTAGTGTTACTTTGTAGAGAAATCTGAAATATAATAAAGTAAATAAAACAATTAATGTGTATAAAATGTGAATTTATGGATGCAAGTGGTGGTGTGGTGTCAGGTCTGTGTTACTCGGACTTGATAGGTCAGTCATGTTGTAGAATAATAAACATTTTTAAGACAGTCGTTGATGGTAAACCGAGTTCTACTACATCTTCTGGTATTCAGGACTGGAATGTTCTCCCGAAGCGGGGAAGAGGGTATTGCAATGAGCTCCGCCTGTGGTGTGTTTGTCCTTCCAGGAGCATAACTCAAAAACTACTGGTCCGATTAACCTCATACATACATACATACATACATGCATACATTGACAATATTACATGCATCTCGGTCCTCAAATTTGGTGCTCATCAGAAGTAGGATATAGATTTTATAACATTATTTATATTGTTTTTCGGTCTTAACTGTCAGAGCCATCTCTTGGGGATCATTCGACCAAGTCATTTTCCTAGGCCAGGTTGACTCAAGCGAAGCGACCATGTGTAAAATTCTGGCCGGCAGACTGGCAGCAGTCCGGAAGACGTGCAAGCCCAACTGATGGGCATGCCACTTGAGGCCTATGCCAGAAAACAAAACAAGGAGATTTAAACCCCATACATTCGATTAAATTAAATTTACACTTAATATGTGCACCTTTTCTGCTTGGCGATATGTATAGCTGGTAATATTAAACCCCTATAATACAACAACCACCAGCGGATTGAGCACATCGATGAACAAAGACATCAAGGTGAGGGTTTGTAATCACAGATTATCTTATTTATTATAAGGTGGCTCAAGGTCCAGTAGTCACTTTAAAAGAGCATTTTATTCTGAGCCCCATATTGGAATTTGTTTTCATCTGTTGAAATATTGTTTTGTAACTTTATTTTTAAGGTAATTATCATTTTCTCTGAGACAAACATTAGCGTTTAACATTCAGTGTTCACTAAGCATTGGAAGAACTTAAAGTTTGTTTGTAGGATGTTCAAAATAAAGTTCACATAACTATACCCAGTAGTGGTGGCTCCATAAATTTGGCCACAAGGGGTCCGATATGTCAAACTGAGGTGTGGGAACCAAGGGGTCAGACTAGAGCCTCGGTTGAGCCCTGTTTTAAAATATCCCTGATAGGGTTCAGGGGAAGACTACTTTTTGCAAGGTAGTCTTCAATTTGTTCTTGAGATGGTCCCCTGGGCCTGAAAGGTTGTGTAACACTGGTTTGTATATTGGAAGCAACACAAGAACTCTGGCCAAGTTGTCCTAAATAGTGGTGTGATCATGGGTAAAACAGGTGACTCACAAACACTAGACATTTCAATTTTCCTGATATATTTTATAATTAAATGTGTAGCCTAGGAAGTTTGGTTCGACCATTCTGATTGATTTTTGAGGTACAGTATTTTCTGATTTTATTTGCACTGTATATTTTTTAAAATTAACAGGCACTTCTTGTTTCATTTGCAGCATAAGTAGCTTTAACACACACACAAAAAAAGGAAGACAACCTCAAATCCAAACCCAAGAGTATTATTTACAATCTCAAAAAAAAGACAATTAACATGGGATTAAAAACAAAGTTGAAACTATTATGTTACAAACTCACTCAAATACACAAACATGTTATTATTTTCAAATACATAATCAATCTTGTAAAATTGATTGAGGGTGATGTTTTAAAAATAACATTGCATTTCAAAAATTAGTTAACATAATTCCATTTACTTTTGAATATTACTTTGAATGCCTGATTCACAACATCAACAATTACCTGCTCATCATGTGCCTATTTTTTAAAATCAAATAATACAGACATGGCAATAACCAAAACAGAAATGTTTTACTTGTTAAATTAAGACAATTACTTAATACATTATAAATAATAAAAGATGTTGCATCATAATAGCATAAAATGCAATAATTGAAGTGTCTCTCACTAGGATTATTCCAATTCCCCATTTTAAGCTTTGTAGTAAAACCACGGTGTATCTTCCTTCTTGCTAAGATACAACATTTCGTATGGATTAAAAAATGCATATAAGTATATAAACATAGTTAGGAATATAGCTTGTGGAGATAACATCCCCACAACATATACATATCAAGCACATTCACAATGTTATTTTCATTACAGTACTTGAAAGGTACACATTATTGAATTGATTGGCACATCAATCAAATCATTATCAAATTTACATATATGGACATGCATAGCAACTTTGATGTTCAAGCTCAAGTTCAATAATAGCTTCAAAATCACATTTCTAAAAAAAAAACAAAAAAAAGCAATCATTTTTTTGAGATCCTTTATTGCTTTCCTATCACAAAATCTTCAAATAAAAAAGAAAAAGAAAAAAAGAAAAACAATCCTCACCCAATTCATTTAAAATTGCCAGAATACAATTACTCCACAAACTGAAAAATTAACACTAAGAAATAATCTTCTAAAATCACACTAAGACATCATATAAAATATTCTCCCCACAAAACCCTTAAAAAACTCTCACATCCAACATGCCAATAGTCTCATTGTAAGTCAGTTTTAAAACACATCCTCCCCTCCCACTTAACAACATAATTTTGCATGCAAGTATGTAGTATATTGTCCTCACTAATGTGCATGCACAGAACAATGCTGATCCGGTCAGAACACGCAACAATATACATTTGAACTCTTTCCAACTCTCAAGGAACTTTTATGAAGATATCCATGCATGTTAGTTAATGAGAACAACACTGAACCTTAGGTTAAGACATTTTAAAAAAATTGAGCATCAACATCAATTTACATGTTTGGTGGCCTCAATTATATGCCACAAAAGCTCTATCAAACATATTGTATATGCAATATTTAATCAAGATGTTAATCTTGTTCACAGTCATTAAATTATTTAATGATTTTTATGATTTTAAGAGTAACCTCTGGATTGTAATTTAAAATAAAATTAAAAAATTCACTAAGAAAAAAAATAATCAAAATAATCATGTACAGATTGGCCCCTTTTTACCTTGCAACATAATGACTACCTAAATGACTGAAAGACAACGATCAACACTCCCCAGTCACTCAATATTAATTATTTACAATTTTAAATTCTGTGAAATGCATTCAGAATTTTTAAATAAATATTTTAATTAAAAATTAAATACTTGATGTGACATGCGAGACAACTTCAAAATGTCCATGTATAAATACCAATGAATAACACAATAGAATGACTTTGACTTCCATGACTAAATAAGAGAGTAGAATTGTTGACCAATGCACTTAAACTAACAATTACACAACACCAAGATAACAATCTGCACATGTAACCCCCATGGTATAGTCAAGTTAGCAAGCTTTGCTGCCACACCAACATAAGCTGCAACTGACAACAACAAGATGACAAGCACTGCACCTGCAACCCACTATATCAAGGTAGCAATCTGCAACTGCAACCCACAACCCCAAGATGACAAGCTGCAGCTGCAACCTACTACATCAAAGTAGCAAGACATCATAGCACAGTGTAGAAAGCTGCACTTGCAACCCACAAGAACTATATCAGGTAGCAAGCTGCACAACCAAATATATCAAGATAGCAAGCTTCACCTGCAACCCACTACATTAAGGTAGCAAACTGCACTTCTAACCTACAACACCAAGATGACAAGCAGCAACCCACAACACAAGGTGATTAGTTCTTGTATTCTTGGAGTACAGGATGGCTTAAATATAGACAATGAATTCTTGGATGTTTATTTCCGCCTATTCCGGCTTCGTCGAGATATCTGAAAAAGGTAATGGAAAATTACATGATGATTATTTACATTATATAAACTAATTAGCATGTAAAGAGATACAGGTTGTTCAAATTCTACAAATGTTGACTGAAAACCATTGTGTATCCATGGTTACTTTGGGTTGGATTTATTTAGAAATTCTTAACTTAGAATAAGTACCAGATTAGAAAAGAATGAAAACATAGTAATTGAGAATTTCAGAATAACCCTTTAGGAATTTATGCTTGTTTCCAAAGGAGTCCTTGTGAGACAATATTGAAAAAAAAGACAAATTATGTATTAATAACATCATTACTATCATTGGATGTAAAAATATAGAGTATATATTTATTATCAATTTACTTGACCTAAATAAATAAATATTTAAAGTCTATTATGAATGTATATTATACTCAGAGTGTAACTATATTTAATGCATTTTTTCCCATGGTGAATAGCAGCAATTGAGTTACAAAAATATAAAGTGTATTTATTTATCAATTTACTTGACCTAAATACAATAAATATTTAAGGTCTATTATGAATGTATATTATATTCACAGAGTGTAACTATATTTAAGGCATTTTTCCATAGTGAATAGCAGCAATTGAGTTACAAGTGCTTGGTTAGACAAAACAAGTAAAACAATAATGAAAAATTCAGTAGGTAATGAAAAATTTCACTCATTCATTCAATAGTCTGGAGTTGTTGACTGTTATTTTGGTATGCACAATAACAAAGCAATACATATCAGATATTGAATGAAGTACCAAATGGTAAAAGAAAACAAGAAAAGTTTTAGACACAATACCAAGAACAAAAAATGAATGAAAACTATAGAAACTGAACATTGCAACATAAAGCCAAAATGCATTTTTGTTGCCAATCCTGAGTGACCTTTTTCAGCCAAGGCAAAATACATGATGCATGTGATAGTTGCTATCAACCCTCACATTAAGTAAATCCCAACCAACCAACAAACCATTTCTTAACATCACTGTGCTGGGGCTACATAAGAATTTTTTTTTATCCACAAAATAAAAAATAGGATTATGAAGGATGCAGTTATGGTGGACAGGACCATCCAGCCTTGAAGTTTTACACCCAGTCTAAAGCTTTCATGGCCCTCCATTCAAATGTATTAACCCTCTAACCCCATCCTTAAAAGCCACTCTTATCATTTAGAGTTTACAAATGTCTTCACCACCCACCCTTTGTTTTCTACAGCTACAGCCCTGGATTATTTAATGTTCTCACATCAAGTGTATGGAAGGAGTGGATAACAAGCAACTTACATTAAGACTTGATTGTACTGACTTCTTGCTTTGTTTTTCTGCGGCTTCTGCTGCTGCCGCAGCTGCCTTGGGAGTTGGCTTAATCTTTCTGCTTGATCTTCCACTATTATCACTTTTGCTATGTGAACTTGCTACTCCATTTGTTAACCTTGATGGCGCTCTCCGTACATTTCTCCTTAAATAAAATGGAAGATGTTTACATCAATCAGTATGGATTGAACATTAAAAAAAACCTTGAAATTCACATGACATCCAGACAAGCAAATTTTATTCCTCAATGGGATTCAACACATTGTTCAACAGGATTCAACACATTGTTCAACAGAACTTGTATACCTATTTTATGTTAATTGATGTTTTCATAACATAGCCTCCCCTAGATGTAATTTTTCTTTCTTTATTTATAAATTTATTAGGAATTCAACACAAAAAATAATGTCGAAGAGGGAACCAACACAAAAAGTGGGTACACGGCAGTGCTCATGTTTGGTTACTGACTAAACCAATTGTGCGTTAAAGAAATTAATTCCAATTTAACAATGAACTGAATCACTGATATTGGATATTTAAACATATAAAATATTAAAATTTCATGTAAATTTATGGGAATTATGGTAGTATACAATGCAAATGTGCTGAATAATTAAGTATTAATTATGTAAGACTAAATAGCATAATCCCACAGATACGTAAAACAACAGACTCCATCTTAATGTCATCTTGCATTCTGCCAAGTTTTAAATCAATCAGACTTATCAAATTTTAGTTATCCTGGTAACAAACAATTTACTACTGACAATGCTACTTTGGAGAGAGGCAAATAATTAGTTTTCAAATACTTTAATTTATAAGGAACTCACATATTCTTCTTTACCGGTGTTGCTTTTTTCACTGGGGTTGTTGCTTTTTTCACTGGTGATGCATTTTTGACTGGTGATGCTTTTTTGACTGGTGATGAGAAATTTCTTTTCAGAAGAGATCCTTTATTTGCATTTTTGAGCGGCGTGTTGATTTTTCCTGCTGACTTTCTAGGTGATTGCTTAGCTGGTGAGGCCGAGGTAGATGATTTTGATGAGTTTGCTGGACTTGTGAGGATCTGACGAGTGCTAGCTTTCTTTGGCGATGGTGAGGCCAGAACTTTTTTAGTGGGCGATGACTTTTTAGAAAAATTATTAGATCTTTTAGCAAAAGACTTGCTTGCATTTTCCTTTACATTTGAAGACTGCCTTGATGGTCGACCTGGTGAGGATACATTCTTATTATTTGCAGATTGCTTGGGCCTTTTAACTGGTGATGCTTTGCTAGAAGACACTGAAGACGAAGACGAAGATGGTGATGAAAAACGTGACTTTTTAGCAGGGGATGCTGGGGATTCTGCAGCCTTGGTGAAGTACCTGTAAGAAAACATAATTATCAAGTCCAGCAAAACCTTGACAATGCTAAATCTATTTTATTTTCTCCATGATGCTACTGAATAGCTAATAACAATGACTACCACTAACCAGCAGTCAGTGAGGCTTGCCTCAAATGCTGATAACATAATTTGCTAAGATTACTTATTCAAAATGACAAATGATTATCAATTAACAATGATTACAACTGACTAGTGACAACATAAAATACTCTTTAACAATGACAATGGTACATATTAACATTGGAACGTTAAATGAGAATTTTCCTTTACCATGGAAGACAACTAAATTGTAAAATTAACACCAGAAAGGCATTCTGATTATTTTTGTAGCTCAATGTTGACTTCGGTCCTGGTTACATTTTGTGTATACACCATTTTCGCTAAATTTGAAATGAATAAATTTGAAGCCTAGGCATTTTGCTTATGTAGTTACCAGCCTTTATCTGTGCTCTGCTTATGGTGCATGTCCTCAGTGTTGATGTAGAGGCCAAGGCTAGTCTTCGAAAACGAAATGCCAAAGCAAAAAAAAGAACGAAATGCCAAAGCAAAAAAAAGAACTTGTAATCTAACTAAAGTGGACAATGGAATTACTATCAACTGTAATACTATTGCACATTGTCAACAAATGGTTTTGGTAGGGTTTACACTTGCATAGTAAAATTTTTTATGTAAAATTATGTGGGTTTTGTGAAATGTGAAATATCCTTTCAGTAATGTTTAACATAATCAGCTGAAATTTCAAATAATTTAGTAAAGATAAGATAATCATACCTTTTTATACTTTGTGATTCTGGTACAGCTTTCAACTTTCCTCGACCTCTTGAAGTACTGGGAGATTTACTATTAGATGGTGATTTTAACGGTCGCCCCCTTGGTCTCTTTATATCACTTCCACTACTGCTACTAGGAGATGACAAGTCCCGTATAACCATGCCCCTGTTATCAACTTGTAACACTGAGGATGAATCAGTTTGAGAATCTTCGCTACTACTTGGACTGCCTTTTTTCCTCCTGCTTGATACAGATTTTGAATTGTCTAACTTTTTGGCATTTGCCGACTTCAGTCTAGCATTTCCTTTTTTCGGTACAATACCGTTAACTTTATCAGTTTTTAACCGTTTGTTCATCGTTCCTGCTTTCTTAACAGGAGAATTTTCTGCGGCTCGTTTCCTATTGTTCTTAGTAGGACTTGATGAAGGTGAGGAACTAATCTGAGAAGATCGTGACTCCCTCAATGGCCTCTTGTCGGGAGATGCTCCCACTGTACCCTTTCGCTTTGGGCCTCGTTTATTTGATGGAGGTTCTTCTTCATGCTGTATTTTGTCATTTATTTTACTAGGTGTATTTTCATCTGATTTTTCAGATTTCTTTCTACCTGTTGATTTGGTTTCCTTAGTTGATTCTTCATCCACGTCTTTTGATTTGCCAGCTCTGGTATTTTTCCTTGGAGGTGTTTCTAGAAGCTTGTCATTTGAATTCTTTGGCTAAAATGAGATGAATATTGTCATTAAGTCACTATCATACTTTTATAATATGTACTACTAGGTCTACTAAACATTCTTTTTATAACATACTCATTATTTTCTTATATTTTATATATATGTCTTGTGCGTATACAAACATACTTATTTAAAATGTAACAGAGAAGCAGGGGTATCTTTGCTCATTCTTAATATATGACCAAGCATAGACCACCTCGATTTATCAATTTATAAATGTCTAACACTTGCTATCTCATAATCTGTTATTCTTAACTAATTGTTAATTTTTTTTACATCTTACTATTATTAACGTTAAGTGATTTAGCTGTCATTAAGAGCCCTGGTATGGCAGAGCAAGAATACTAACCAGCAAGCCATATGCCTTTATTTAACCATTTTTTTTTGTCAAGTTATATTTTAGCTTCTTTTGTTTGGAGGCATGTACTTCTAACCTAAAGTCAGTTTAAGTTATTAGTGCAAGTAAATGACATTCACCTTTTATCAAGTTGAAATTTTGGGCACAATAAGGGCACAATACTGTATATATTTTTATACTTAAACTTTCCTAGGTAAGACATTTATGAGAAGTTGCTTATAAAATGATTTGCATACTTTATTATCACTAGGGTTAAACTCGTGCTGCATAGCCTTGGGTAGAAAGCTCTCAGAGTTGTTGAGTGGTTTCTTTGGCTTAGCAAACAATTTAGAGGGCAGTGGGGTTGGTGTTGGGTACTCTTTCAGGTCAAAACTTGCACTCTTAGACATCAGTAATCCATGGGCTAAGTCACATACTGCATATAATTTCTGAAAATAAAATAAATAATACTGATTGAAATAACAAGATACAGCTTCAACTCATTCATTGCATGGTGACAGCAAGAGAAATGGAAAAAGACAAGTTATGAGATGCAAGATGACAAGAGAGACATGGTGCAAGATGACAAAGTAGTATGTAAAATGAGATGATAAGAGATATGATACAAAATGATATAAAGAAAAAGATAATGCAAGAAAAAAAATGACACTAGGCAAGATGATGAGATTTATTGCAAGAAAACAAGTCACAAGATGCCACATGAAATAAAAAGAGAAACAAGATAATCCGAGATTACAAACCCTCGCCCTGTTGCGCTATATCTATATATGGAGTCGATTTGCTCAATCTGCTGGTTGTTGTTGTATTATAGGGGTGTAATATTACTAACTATACATACTTTTCAGGTGAAATGTAGCCAAGCGGTAAAGGTGCACGTATTATGTGCAAAGTTAATCAACTGTATGGGATTTAAATCTCCCTCTCTTGTTATATATTTGTCTCTTTTTTTTAAATTATTATTTATTAGTATTATTATTATTAACTTTTTATTATTTGTGCATTTATTGAATATTTTTTTCACATTTTATCATTATTCACAATTATATTTTTTTGTATAAAATCTTGATAGCAGATTGTGAGATATATACGGAAGGAAAATATTTGAAACATTCCAAAATATGCATCTTACATCTCCAATCCATCCGCCAAAGGAGGCCTAGCTTTATAGGCCTCAGGTGGCAAGCCCATCAATCGGCTTGTACACTGTCCGGACTGCTTCCAGTCCGCCGTCCAGTATTTGACATGTGGTTGATCGCTTGAGTTGGTCTGCAATAGAGTCAGCTTGGCCTAGCCAAACGACTCGCTTGGAATTGGCTTTGTCAGTTGCGACCGAAAAATATATAAAAAATGTTGTAAAATCTGCATTTTACTTCCGATCAGCACCAAATTCGCAAAGGACCGAGATACACGTAATATTGTCAATGTGTAAAAATTTGAAGTGGATTGGTGCAGTAGTTTTGAGTTATGCACCCGGAAAGACACACACACCACAGACATGCTACTGCAATACCCTTGGGTAATGATGAAGATTATAAATCATATTGTTTGAGATAACAGGTGAAATGATAAGATGTTCAAAAAAACGTACTCTGTTGGCTGATTTCTCATCTGGATTTTGCCCATCTTTCATGGTTTTAATAGTTTCAATAAGTTTCTTGAGGAAGCTGAAATTCTCACTCTTCACTAATAGTGGTTCCAGCATGAACAACAAACACCTGACAAATGAATGTATATTATAATCATAACTACAATATAAACTACAGCAGTCACTCCACAGAGTGTATACCTTCACACCTGTGCATGGATACCAAACAATATGCAGGCTGTGTATGATCGGCAATTCCATTATTTTCTTTTATGCTCGAGGGTAAGTTCAAGGGAAAAATATTGAATTTCTATGTCCTTGACCTTTGCTTCCCAACGGTTAATATCTCTTTCTTAGATTATTATGTAACATTCCGCTAAATTTTTTTGACAAACAGACAGACAGGGTGAATACATAGCCTCCTCAGCAGAGGTAATGAAAACCATAATGCTTAAACATTATATACATTGCCAGATTCACTTAATATTAACATAGCAAAAATCACAAAAAATATAAATTACATATTCAAGTAAAAACATATTTACGAATTACACATATTATGTTCTTTAACGCACACACGAATCATATTGCACACATAACCAATGGCCTAAACATGTGATCAAAAGACGGTGTGCTTTATATACTTGCATTTCGGCCCGCCAGCTGATGTGAGACTGGCTAGTTATCTGGAGGTCGTGGGTTTGATTCTCACACAAATCACTTGCAAGATTTTGTCCACAAGTAATTGGGAACATACTGAGTATTCAGTAGGCTAAAACACCAGGTAGGGCAAACATCACTCCTATGGAATAAATCAAAGATCTTCACGGTTCAGCGCACACACAGTGGCTACCATAAGTTTAGTGGACTGAGCTATGCTGCTGTTTACTTACTCTTTGATATCTCTCAGTGCTTCTATATCCTTCAAGGTGAGAAAGTCAGGATCATGAGCCAACAAGTGGATTGTATATGGCACAACATACTCCGGTAACAAAGACATCATTTGAGCTATCATTAAAAATAGAAATTAATATAATAAAGTATAATTGACAAATAGGAAAATACCTAAAAAAAAAGAGGAGAGAGACAATTATCTGAATAGTGCTGTACAGAAATTTAGGATCGAGATCACAGATATAACAACACTTGTTTTTACTTTAAATGATTTTTGTATTATTCAAAAAACATTAAAAATGAATTAAATTTTGTTTTCTTACTCTATACATTATTACTTTGTTGGAGAAAAATGTGAAATCGAAGTCATTTTATAACAAACAAAAAAATGCCCAGTGAGCTTGGCTCCTGTGGCAAGGCTTAGCCCTGTACAGCATTAAGTTATGCCATTAAAAATGCTATTGAAAATTCAAATTATGAATTACAATTTTTCTCAATTACAATTACTATTCAGATGCAGGGGTGCATAACTGGGAATTGTCACTGTAAGTATATGTACATTACTTTAGTCAACAATTTCAGTTTTAAGGCATCATATAAACTACTACAGTAAATCACAGTTATCTTACCATTATTCCTCACATGCTGGCGTACACACTCCCGTCGTGTCTGTATGTTGCGTACTATAAATTGCTTGGCCTGTGTCCGGCTTTCCTTTACAGGATCTTTGGCACATAATGAGAAAATACTCATATAACTAAGTGGTAGCCGCAGTGATATCAGATGCTTGTTGAGTTTTTTAGCAAATCGGGTTCGGACATGGTAACATTCATCCTAAATAAAGTAGATATGTTATCAAATTTATAATCAAAAATAAATTAAACTGTTTTTACATAGCTTCAAATAGTACACATTTTTGTACCTACCAAATCCAGAAAGCCCTCAGATTTTTCTCATGAAATAAAAGTCAATTCTACTTTCTAAAGCCAGGTATATGTTATCAGATTTGTCAGACTCTGCTTTGCCTGAGAGTGAATGCACAAGTTTCAGACATCTGATCAGACCAATCATGTTTTACCCCTCTATTGAATGCGAGACATTGATGCTCTGCGAAGTCTGATGATAAACTGTCTGATTAAAAATGTGATGCCCTCCGTAAGTCTCATAATGAGTCTTTGTTTAAAGAGCATCACATTATGTTGTCTCTCCTGCGTTCAAACAAGCAAGCAAAGTTCTCTCACAAATTAACCCATTTCTTGCTTGTTCAAATTGATTGCTTGTTTTGACTAATCTGTTAATAACCGTCTCCCTGAAGTCAGCAGCAGCTGGCCATGGATATTAGTACACAAAGTAAAATGCTATAAGATGTGTTATCTCCATGAAGAGGCTTTTCCCAATTTCAGACCCTTAGATTTATAAAGCATTTTTTAAATAATTTATTTAAAATATTATGGTAAGTAAAACAATCAATAGCTAAAATCCAGTTGACAACTTGATACTACATAACTTACATTAATAAGAAGAGCCACTAGTTGGAATTGCTCTTGAGTTATAAGCTCTGAGAAGCAGGGTTCTTGTGCAAGCTTCAGCATGGCACAGCCTGCAGCTAGACGCAGCCTAGCCATATCAGTTCTCCTGAAAAAATTAACACAAACACATTAGAGATACAAAACTAAATTCAGCAACTATTTTGGCAAGAAATATTAGAAAAACTTAACATTCAGAAACATGTTCATGTGATAGTCACCGAATTATTGAACATTTTGGAAACTGTATTATGATATAAATAAGGCTAGACCCAAAAGGTTGCCATTTTCTTAGCACTTTCCAATGAAAATCTTAAAGCACTTCCCATAATAGTCTGATCTTTATAAGATACACAAAGGAAGGTAATACACAATGTGTATCCCCTTCCATTGCAAGTGTAGTTTTCTTATTTAGAATAGTATAAACCATTATTATTCAACCTTTTCCACTCCCTGGAGAGTATTCTTAGTTATGCAAATGTAGCACCACAAATTTCATTCCAAATCATTCCTCTCTCACCAGGTACCACATACACTCCAAGGCGAAGAAAGGCAAACATAGGTATCTTGCCCAAGGACACAAGCAGGGCAACAGCATCTGCCTTAAACTCACAACATTGCTATTGAATGCCCAAAGCATCACCACTGCACCAAACTGCTCCAACAAGATATATTTCATATGTATGCTAAAACACCTCTTAAATACCTGTCTTACGAGAGACTCTTAGAAAGCATATAAATGACAACTTACTGAATCTTCTGCCTTTCCATAAGGTCACCATCATTTTTGATCATTGTTGCTAAGAGCCTAATAGTTGATGATCCTGATCCTCCAGCATTTGACTTCAAACCTTCAAGCCAGTGTACAAGCAGCTTAATAGCATGAATCTAAACAAAATAAAATATAAATAGCATGAACATTGGTTCTTGTTTGCTCATTCTTTCACAGTACCACAATATGTACAATCAACAATTATGGTGCCAACAACACACATTTTACATTATTCTGGTAGACTACAACAATTCAACTTCAAATGTATTATTGTTTGGTCTACAGAAGTAAGCTTAATATCACACAATTTCATATGAGTATATACCTTAGCTTGTGTCTCTAAGCACACCTGGTCATCTTGACACCATATACCTTTACTTGGTGTTCCCTCTGTGTTATCTAGCATTAGTAATCCCTTTACAACACTAACAGCTACCACAGTTTTCATTGCATTGCTGAAATGCTCTGGTGCACACTTTGAAAGGAGGCCCAATGTGGTAAGCGTGGTTAAGATGTACTCATTTTCAAGACTCACTTTGTCTTTAATATCCTGTGTATGAGAAAAGAAATTCATTACATAATTCTAACCTATTATCACATATGTCTAGTTAACTTGATATGAATACTATCTGTGATCAAAAGCTAATATTTCATCCAAAAAATTAAAAAAAAACATATTTACAGGGTTGTAGCTGCAGAAAACTAAGGGTGGGTGATTGACATTTTAAGGGTGGGTGGGTGATAACATTAATAAACTCTAAACAATAAGAGAGGATTTTGAGGATGGAAAACTTGGGTAATAAGGGTGGGTGGAAGGTCATGAAATTAGCTTTAGATTGGGTGGCCTCACCCACCATAACTACATCTCTTCTATTATCTTCACCGGTTAAAGGTATATTTCCTCTAAAAATTACAAAACAAAATCTTAAAAAACAATTTTGAAATTAAATTGTTCATTTGCAGTAAGATACATTTTTATCTACTTTTATTACTGAAAATAATTTCCAAATTAACTTGAGCATATAAATTATTGAATTCAAAAATGTGTGCCCTGATATTTAAACAGAATAATGATTAAAAAATCAGTAGACACTTGCAGTGTGGAAGTGTTGCTTACATTTTTTGTTAAGCTAATTTCAAATATGATATTAATATTTATTGGTGTTTTTTTATGGGACAATACATCTTTAACAAATGCATAAATAATACTGATCTCATATGCATTGCATACACTCTTAAATTTGTTTATAATCAATTTAAGGATGTAAAGTAAAAACTGAATAAAACAACCTGTGTCTCACTGGAAGTCACATACCTCAAATAAGACCTTAAAAGCTGCAATTTTGTCTGCAAGTATTTTGTTGAGGCAAAGAATAGCTTTCTTGGCTTGAGCTGGTGTACCTTCTCTGGCTCTGGTTTGGAGTACTGGTATCAATTTCCTGCACAGAATAACATATCAAGTGATTATGGTTCAATTATGAATATGGATGGCAATATGATAGTGATGTTTGTTATGAGTGACTGCATTCTAATTTCAACACATGTTTATTCTTGGAAAATTGAAATACGGTAATAATTTCTCTAATGTCTCACTTTATGAACTAATTCAACAGAAGTTATTAAAATTAAATTCTTAAGATTGTGGGGAGATACATACAGTGGTGTATCTATAATGGTGCATAGATACTTTCCCTACCTTCAGTCAACCCCCACTGAAATTTTTTTGAAGCAAAATTATACTCAAGTAGTTAAATATAACCTAATATCACCAGCTTACACTTCACTTAATCATTGAACGCTCCCTCCCTCATTTCCCTTCCTCATTTCAATAGTCATGGATATGCCACATTCAGCATTTATTCTTACAACCAACCAACTGATGATAAACTTCCATTATGGGATCTGGGAAGCAGGTTGATTTTACTTACTTAAAAACCAAATCCTTTAATGAACAGACATTAAACACAGCGCCTTTATGTTAAGGACTGTGATTAGGTAGACTTACTTAGCATACTTGGGAAAAGCAGACTCTAAGTTGTCACCAGTGTTGATAAGTACTTGTAAGGCCGCATTGGACACCATATCATCAACGCTGTCGAGCAACTGTATTAGTATATTGTACGTTTCCTCCGTTTTAAAGGTTGCTGGAAATATCACAGATAAGGTCTGAAATAAGAGAAAAAACAATGTAGTGACAACAATAAAGTTAAATTGAATTAGTGTATGGCAGGTCTACAAATAACTAGATTCACCAACAAAAAAAAAAAAAAAAAAAAAAAAAAAGGAAAAAGCTGGACCAAAATTGTAGGTTAGCACATAGCTTAGCATAACAAAATTTATAGCTTTAAATTTAGATAGATAGAAAGAAAAACCAACTCATGTAAAATCTGTATTTCTTAACATACTTGCAGAAGTTGTAAGCCTCTGACAAGAGCGCCCTCTTCAGCTTCACCACTGATGGGAACTCCCTGACCGAATGCCTCTTCCGCTACATATTCGATGAGGGCCTTCACTGCTTCGCTGTCTATTGTTAACGGTGCACTACGTTCAAGTAATTTTTGAACTGTTTCATACATTGCATTTGGACTAGACGGATCACCAAATTTCTTCATAATTTCTTTCTGCAAAAATATATTTGTTTTGAAATAATTAAACTTATGAACAAATGTGGCTGGTTGCTGAACTTGTTGAAACTACAGAACACTATTTTATCATTAATTATAATTTTATTCAACTATGAATATATTAAATACTTGTATTATTACTTTAACTACTATTACTTATTGTATATTATATTACATAACAATAATTTATAATAATAATAAAGATTTTGATTAGAAGTTAGTATAAAACATGATCTACAATACAGCATACCACTGCAAACGTTGCCTTCTTGCATGTGACACCTGGACTGACGATGGTCTGTAGGAATTTTCTAATGCGCAGATCTGTATCCAGCACCTCACGCAGCCTTTTGAGATGTTCTTGTGCTTTGGCTGGATCAGGCAAACATTCTAAATCAAAAGAGTATGTTTGAAAATTATATTAAATCTGATATAGTAATTTTATTCTTATACTATACCAAGTACACTGAGCCAATGCTCACTGGTTCAATCATATATGTATAATACTGCAGAACCGACATCAGGTTTTGTATGCACCTTGAGAATTAGACTTGATTCAGGGTGACCAAAGAATCAAGTGTTGGTTGGTAACTCCTTTCCAAAATGTGATGAAAAGTTACAACATTAGGTCAAATGTTATAGCCATTTTACTTACATTTTGGCAACCACTGGTTGTAGAGTCATTTTTAGTTGTCAATTTATTCGGAACATTCATATCTATTTGCTCTAATTGTAAATTATAGTAAAAAATGAAGCATCCTTTCTGGCCACTTACTGCTAATAACAATAAGTTTTGTAAACATTTTCTTTGCTCTGATTTCGTCTGCTTCTTGCTCGTAGAGTTCCAGTAGTCCCTGCAAGTGGGTGCGTACCATAAACTGACTTTTAAGTAACTCATTGACAGCTCTGTAAGTGAACAAGCAAAAACATCAAGGTAAAGCAATAAACAAGGGTCTTACTACTGCATTAAATGTCAAGTACACAACAGTAGTACAACGTCGCTCCACTTTAAGAGACTTGCTTTATGTAAACATCTTGTGCACATATGTCTTGAATAAGGGGTTGCTACTTAGACAATAATTATCCTTGCTCCTTGTGCCTAAATACTGAATTAAAAAACAAATGCAGCAGGACATATTTCGTATAAATCGATCAATCAATTGGGAGAAGTATAATTCCAAACTGATGATCGTTGGCACTGAGTGTTATTACCCTTGGTCACTGGATAACATACAATGGCAAACTAGCACAAAGTGCAACCTTCTCTGCTCCCTGGAGAGTATAGTCAGGGGAGTGTACTCAGTGTACCAAACTAGTACAATCAATGCCACAACATCCTAACAGGTACCCATTCATACTCCAGGGTAGACAGACAGATGGGTATCTTGTAGATGAGTGGCTGGTAAAAACCTGGTTATTTTACCTGACTGAATGCTGATCAACAGTTGCATAAAGTTCAAACATCCTTCTCATTCTCTCTTCATTTTCCAAAGTGAACGGAACTAATGACACGGTAAAGATCCTTTCTACTAACAGCCTAGAAAAAATATAAATTGAGTTCAATTTTTTAATCAAAATTGATGACACTTTAATTCATATAATTAAATTATTAAATTTTCAAATTGTTGACAAGCCCTAATAAAAACAGATACCTGACTGTGTAAATCCTGACTATAATGTTTATTGAACCTTAACAAGAGTTAATGGAAAAATGAAAACAATAAAAAAAAAGAGAGAATAAAGGTGGGCTACACCCACGAAAGACAAAAAAAAAAAGACTTACCAACTGCATATTATTCTACCTACAAAAGGAAAAGAGACTATAATGTTAAAAAAAAAAAAAAAAACAGTCCTCACTTATCATCCATGTTGGTTTGGTAGTACATGTGCAGTATCTTGTCCTTGATCCATGCCAGCTTTACCTTCTCTGTATTTGTAGATTCTGGGTTGTAATACCATTTCTTGTACACATGACTCAGGCCCAGGATAGCATCCTTACGGATTGACCACTGTAAAAGCAAACAAATACCCATTATGACTTGAAATAGGATGTGTCATGTAAAAGATAAAGCTTTTCCAATATATAACACAAAACAATTCAAACATTAGCTCACCACAGGCAATGTTTCTTTAATGAGGATTAACCAACTTATCTGGGAACAGCCCTTGCAATTTAGACTTAGAACCCAGGTCCGGGTTCGTACCCACTGCTGTCCATTATTCTTGTGTCTTGGGCAAGGTACTTATTTGTCTCTCCACTGAGGAGTACAAACGGGTCTTTGGTAGGATGACTTGAAATTAAATTTGTCTGGTGCTAAGTATCAGCACAATACTTCCCAGGAAGTAATTAGGATCAGAATGTGCCAGTATTGCATACTTTAGTACAAAGAAGCTGTAACACTTTTACTCTTAACTTTGGCAATAGTAAGTCGATTTCAGTAAGGCTATGTTCTCACACGGCAGCTAACGGTTAGCAGGATCCGGATCCTGCTAATCGTTAGCTGCCGTGCGTCCTTACGAGAAAATCCAGATCCGGATACCAAGAATACGATGATCGAATCACTGGCCAATAAGAAACTGGAAATTGTAAACATGTACGTGTGATTGGTTGATGATAAAAACGCACTCACTTGCTAACCGATAGCGCTTGTTAACCGTTAGTGGTATCTGGATACCGCTCCCGATCCGGATACTAGGTCTCCCGTGGGAACCAGGCTTAAATGACCTATAATTTTAAAGCTTATAATGTGGAGAACATGCATATGAAAGTCAATTTTCTTGTTATGATCACTGATGCTGGTTTTGGCATGGCAAGTTCCATTATGGTAGACCAGGCAGGTGGTTGGTTCAAATCCTGTCAACCACCCTCTTACAATCCCTGCCAGATTGCCTCAATCTACCACCTTTTGGAAAAATATTGGGCCTGACAGTTTTTAAGAATATAAACATACCTTTTTATCGAGTGTTCTCTCCTTGACTAGGTTGAACAGGTCAGGGGTTACATTTGTCATGTCTTTCTTGGCAGCTGTGATGATGCTACTGACTACACCCTGACGTACCGATTCTTCAGCATCGTGAACTCGCTCACTCAACTTATCTGTGAAAATAAATTAATCAGGAAATAATTATAATTGGGATTGAAAGGTAAGCATCTTAACCACTGAGATACATCGCTACAACCTACTCTATGACTATCACACATTAATATCAGATAGCCATTCAGCCTTTTTAATGCACCACTGCACTCAGATTTTGCCTTGAAACACAAGAGATACTGGTCCTTTGTTTATTTAATATTATGTAATCAATAATATTCCTAATGATAGAATAGTGACACTAGATATAAACTTACCAGTTAGGTCTTGTACTAGATAAGGATGGTATAGAATAAACTGACTAGCAAAACGAACACATTCAAGTCGGACGTTGATGTTGATATCTCCAAATCTTCAATGAAAAATCATTATAGTTAATAAATGTTTCTAAAAAATATACTTCAAAATGAACTAACGTATCACAAACAAAATATAAGCTCAATCTACACTATATCCAACAAAATAAAATTATTACGTGTACATAAAATATATATAATAAATTACTATTAAAATTATTCTTTCCAGTTAACAAAATGCATTAAAATTGAGTTGGTGTAGAGATTGTTACCTTCCTAAGAAGCAGTTCCATAGTGGTTTATGCTGGGTTGCCAAGTCAGAATCTTTATCTGAAAACATCTTTCCAAGCAATTTGGTAACACTCAACCTTTCACGCTCATCATTACTCTATGAATTAATAAAATTAGTAGTAGCCTTACAATCATGGAAAATATTATTAAACATGATATTAATGTTCAATCACTCATTATTAAAACAATAAAAAGAATGTGACATAAAACCCAGGTCATGGCTTAATCAGGCACATGCAGGATGTGAACAGCAAAGATAAAAAAAAAATCATTTAAAAAAATTAATAATAATTATTAAAATTAAATTAACAATAATTATAAAGTATATTTATGTGATAGTGTGCTAGGGGTAGTTCCATTATTTCCAAGTGCGGTGTTTCCATTTAACAAACAGATCTATTCAGAAAATAAGTATAGGATACAATAAAAAAAAAAAAAAAAAAAACAATGGTGTAATGTATTATGCCAGGTCAAAACTTATGACTGTAAAAGGAAAAAAGAAAGAAAAAAGAAAACATTTTGAGTTGTTTTTTTTTGTCTGGTAGACAAATCAAATATGTTAAAAATAAAAATTAACTTTTGTTATGTTTTCTTTTTACAAATTTTTAGTCCACTAGCCTTGTAGAGATGAATTCCATACAAAAAGTATCTATATGTAATGAATGAATTAGTTGACATACATGCCAGTTACTTAATGTTATTTTAAAGTGATTATTACCTTCAGCTTGAGTTCCAGTTGGGGTAGAACAGACAAGAGTATATTGCTTGACACTTGGTTCAGCTGGTAGATCAGCTCATACATGTACGGGCCTAGCTCAGTATTGTCTTTTTTTCCTAGTATTAGGATGCTGTTGAACATCTGAGATGAAGAGGAAAATTATGTAATAATAATAACAATAATAATAACAATAATAATAATAATAAAAATTATTATTATAACAATAATAATAATATAATTATATTTAATTTAATTATATAACGTTAAGTACCTGTCTGTAGACTACAAAACTATATTTTAAGATACACTCTCAGCAAAAAAGTATCAAATATAATTTGTAAATTTCAGAAAACAGGTAAAAAAAAGAATTAGTGTTCACTGATTTACAGACATTTTACTACACAAGTGCATCTATACAAGTAGTGGATTCAGAAGGTGATGGGATATTGAGACGTTGTCTTTTGAATGTCAAGATTTATTACTACAAAACTGTAAATCTGATTCCATATCTTTAATATGAGCATCCATCTTAAATGAGCCATAAAGAATGAAAAAAAAAAAGCTGTAAATCTTTAAGCTACATTTCAAAGAAAAAATAAATATCTGACATGTTGTGCAACTTCACTCCACTGAAGAGGTGTTTGATCGAAAACTCAGAACCGTTTATAATGAGATACAGATTTCTGAATATTTTACTTTGGAACCTGGCTTTAATGCTACTGAGAGCATATGGAGAATTACTCACAACTTGAATGGATGGTTCGATACTTGAAGCAGTTCTTTTGATTAGATCTTTTGCTAACGTGAAAGCACTTGAGTTCTCGATCTTCTTTGAGTCCAAAAGATTTACCAAAATGCGTTCCAGCAACTCTGATGTAACAGCGTCATTCTCACTGATCAGAGGACACATGATGTCAAGCATAAAAGTACGCACCTTAGGGCTGTGGTTTTCACTGAGTATAGAAAACAAAATCATTTATATCTATTTTAATATATATATATATATATATATATATATCTTTAACTTTAAATTAAATGTTGTCATGTTGATATGTGTGCTTTTGTTTCCAACAGAATTATAAATGAACATACATTAATAATAATTTTGAAACATACTCTATGTATTTCATTTTCAATGTATGATAATGTAATTTAAAAAGGTTTATAATCAATTTAAATAAAACCCAGTATGCCAGTAATGTAAATTTTATGTTACCTTATTATGGTAAAGAATACATTAAAAAGTTCCACAAATATTTCATTTGAATCGGGAAGCTCCATGCATATGTTGTAGGACTTAACCATTGCTAGGTTCTCCAGTAGGTAGAAGTAGCGCTTCCATGATGAGCTTTCGACATTCTCCAATCCCCACAGTTGCTTTGTGATGAAGCGGAAAATGGCCTGCAACATCAACAAATTCTTTGATTTGACGATATTCACACTACCAGACATTATTTTAATTTTAAAAAATTAGATCATTTTAAAGCCAATTTGAACGATTTGAATTTTACCTTTAATGTTTCCATGGTTTTGTAAGGAGCCTCCGGTGCAAATATCCTGAAGATATCAGCTAGGCAACAGGCAACCAGTAGTCGTATATCTTTACTCTGGTGCTTGAAGAAAATATCCTTGACGAGGTGCTGAGCCAAGGGCTCGTACCGGTCAGTTTCCTCTTCCTGCTCCATGTCTTGGAAAGCTCGAGCAAGGGCCTAGAAAATTGATGACAGACAATATGCAAGAAACACTGAAAATGTATAACATAATTTTTTTTTATAAGTCCATCATGACATCATTGTTGTAAACTCAAAAATTATTTTCCCATCCAAAAACTATGCACTAATTTTTAAATAGTGCATGGTGCAACAGGCAACCAGTAGTCGTATATCTTTATTCTGGTGCTTGAAAAAAATATCCTTCACGAGGTGCTGAGCCAAGGGCAAAACCCACATTACTCACTATTGTTCAGACATGTGGTAATGTCGACAAGTGACTAATGTTTAAGCACTGTTTCAGGTTTTGTTAGTTCTTTTTTAAATACAGTATATATTGTAAAATAAATGTAAATATGGAATTTAGGTATAGGGAATAACCTGTCATATAAAACAAATGTGCTACTGTAGTTTTATCTTCATTTCGATCTTCGTTGCATACAAACTATCTGCAGGGCATTGCCTGCTCTCCTCCGGTGCAGCGAGAAGCAAGCATGTGCATGAGTAGTGGGCGATTTTTGAACGGTTCATTTTGTGGCGGGGTATACACATCTGGTTTACTTACGATTAATACATGTGTTGAAATATATATATTAAAGACTTTCACCTAGTAAGTATTGGTTTGGTCTTTGGGATTTTCCAACCGAATTTATCGTATTTAAAATGTGCTCGCTTGATGGCCATGCAAAAATAAGTTATTAATTGTTACAGTAGTTTATCAATAAATATGATTAAGCTGTAATTTAAGTATTGACTGATTCCTCTTTATAATGTATTCAAAAGAATGGCATAGAAGTATTTAACAAAACATTTAAATATACTGAATTAATATTGAAGAATTAATGCAATGTATTGCTACTCTGAAGAATACTGCTTTGAAGGTATGTTTAGGTAGCCTAGGCCCTTACTTCTTTCTACAGTTCTAGGCCTAGGTCAAAGGCCTACTGTCAGTGTGTGTTAATTTGTTCGGGTCTCCGTAAGGCCTAACTCTCCAAGTCAAGTTGCTATTGTGATATAACTCGAATAAAATTCAACTTTGCTTATAGTCGAATTTAATCTAAGTCGAACTATATTTCAGTGGCACTTTAGATTTGACTTAGGCGAGTTTGACTGTATTCTTTCCTAATTTACTGCAGGCACTTCCAGTACTTGTGTACCAGTAATGAAAGTGGTGCAGTTAAAAACAAACCATTAAAATAGAAAGAAAACAACATACAGTCAAAAGAAAATTCAATATAAAACCATTATAAAATTAAATTGGAATGAAAATATTGTCATTTCTTTAAACTTAATTTTTGCTTTGTTTGGAAGTCCATTACAACTTTTAGATCCACCATATAAAAATGTTCTTTTACCTTGATAAATATTCCAATGCATGGTACAATTAAATCATTATGAGTTTGGCTACATGTATATTGTGAACAAAAATAAACTTGGATAAAAACATGCCTTTTAAACTTTCTTTAAAAGTCATAAGAATTAATTGTTAATTTCATCTTGCATATAACAGTATATTCGGCTATTTTTCATCATTATTTGAAAAAACAAAAATTTAATTACCTTTAATCTTCTCATGAGCTCATCTTTAGAGAGGTCAGGGGTTAATTCCTTGACCCCAGATGGATATACAATCCGTGCAGATGATCTATGACCCTTTGTGCGAGTCATGATCCCTGAAAAAATACATAAAAACATACAGTGTAACATCTCACAATTACCAACCTCCAAATTACGAACTCTCTATATTTAGGGCACATAGAAAAAATTATTAGATTATCACTCTTTTTTTTTTAAATTGATGAGGGAGGGCGGTTTTTTTTAAATCAGTACAATAAATTATTTCACTTTTGTTTTTATTGATGAGGGAGGGACTGTTTATATTTGGCCTGTACCTGGGCCTGTAATAGTAAATATTGTATAAAAACTGATTTAATTTTATAGTTTTTTAAAGAAAATGTATTTGAAGTCACATAATTGCATTGTTATTTTATGCTGTTGAAATAATTGATGCGGCAAAATTTTTTTTTATCTTGCATCAATATTTTGACGTGGGTGGGAGTGATAATCTAATAAATTTTTCTATTTGCCCTTACAAAAGGCAATTTGTGGAGATGACATCATTATGAACTTTTTTTTTCTCAATACAGTACAAAAACTCTTAAAAATAGAATTAAAAAATCACAAATATATAAAATATTTCATCAGCTAAAATTATGAAACAAAATGTTTAAACCAATACATCAACTGAAAACTTAATTACAAAAGTAGAAGTAGGCCTAGGCCCTAGATGGCCGAAACAAATTCCATTCATTGGAGAGGACGGACATTATATACTTGCAGTTGCCATTCAGATTCCCATTTACCAAAGGCTAAGTTTGGTAGCAACTGTGCCATTACTCCTACATACTATTACTACTCTAGCTTAAATTAATAGTTACTAACTAGGCCTAGGCCTACTATACTAAGCCTATCCTGGCATAGGGCCTAGCCTGGCCTAACTAAAATAGCTGTTTCCCCCTCCACCCTAAAAATAGGCCTAGCCTATGCCTAGTTTAGCTATGCTTAGGCCCCCAGCTAGGCTAGGCAGGAGGGCCGCTAATTCTAATATATATATAAGGTGTAGGCCTATGCCTAAGCTAGGCCTAGCCTAGCCTACATTTTTGATGAATTATGAAAATAGAATCGTTGTATTTTTAACACAATAATCGTGAATTGTATAGGCTATTACTGAATAAATAAAATCTGCGGAGAAAACAATGTTATAATTTGTTCCCACTTTCGCAAGCAATGCTATGCTGCTCAACTCGTCGCTGTATATTATGTAGGCGATAGGGCCTAGCTAGGACCGACGCCGTTCCCCGCTTCCTCCTTCGCTACTTTTCTGCCAACTCATAAATTGCATTAAAATAAGCCTGAGCTAATAATGTACAGTCTAGACTAGCCTAATCAATATTAACAAAATCTATCCTCCCCTATTCTTGAGCAGTCCTAATTTTTCAAAGCTTTAATTTTTAAAAAAAACTTTAAAGGATTACCTGAATATAGGCCTATTCGTTTTAAGAAAGAAATACGATTTTTAACACAATAATCGTGAATTTCTCCTTTTTCCGATGTTGCAGAGAAAATGGCGCCAATGTTATTTTACAGCGATAACCAACCTTTAAGTGTACCAATTCATTGGATGATTACACATAGACATTTTTATGACTTTTCGATTAAAATCCTCAAATACAAGTCAAACTTTTACACGTTATGCTATACATAATTTCTTAATGTTTACAGCAATCAGAATTTTTAAAATTATAAAAATAATTTGGCAATAAAGTGTTTTAATGAAAAAAACCCAAAATATATTTTGAAAGCAAGTAGCCAATCATAGAAGGTATACTATCATACTACGGCCCTATTAACTAGCCAGACGATCCGGGGACCCATATAGAGGGCGACATTACGGTTTTTATTAACATCAGGAATACTATCGATTGATTGATTGATTGAATTTATTCGATGCTCAAGCATAGAGAAAGGAGTAAAAACTGAGCAAGTGCACTTAAAAGATTTATTTATTAGGGATCGCTTTAGAATTGAACCGGTTAGTCACTGCGTGCGACGGCAACGCGACGAAGAACGTAGGCCTACGCGAAGACGCTATCCTAATCAATATTAACAAAATCTATCTTCCCCTACTATTCTTGAGCAGTACTAATTTTTCAAAGCTTTTTAACGTCTTTTTAATGAGGATCCGTTCAGATTGCTACTGACAATCAGCAGACGGCGTTGCGTCGTCTATCGCTCGCCGGAAGCAAATGTGGATTCGACGGAGTGAGTGTCGGCTTTAAGCCTGTTTTCCACTAGGCGATATTCGCGCGAATCGAAAGTGTGGGTTCGTGCGCATGTGTATTCACATTCCGAAGCGGAAGCGAAAAAATGCGCAACCAATCAGAGCTCAGGAA